CAAGACCTCCATCCTACCTCTACCAGCATAGTGGGTTGACATGGCTGGGTCAAGGCTCTCAGAGCGATGTAGAGGCATCTACGGGTTTGCAATCATCGTTTGTCATCTCGTCGAAAGCGTGCTAACACTCTCTGCCTATCGATAGAGCGTCGCCCGATCTCGCGCTAGAACTCCCAACAGAGGTTCAACAGCCTACTGTTGGAAGATACCAAGGAAGGCACGAAAGCCAGGACAAGACCGCAGGGGAGAATCCAGAACCTGAGACCAGCTGTCAGTCTTCCATCGCAAACCAGCCTGCGGTGGTTAGCTAATGAGATTGCAGTTCTACTAAGCGAGTCCAGTTCAGACTCAGAGGGCGAAAAGTACGTTCAGACGATTTCGACTACATAATTATAACTAGATTTCAACACTAACACGACGGGACCAGGAACCCGAAACCTTACGCGGTCAACCAGACTCCGCCACTAGATCCGCCCACAGAAGAGGAACAGAAAGCCTCGAGGCGATTTAAGTGGCTCCATAAAAGACAGAAAGGTTCGAAGGATTCGAAGGGCTCCAAGGGCTTCAAGGGTTCGACAGGGTCTGGGGGTAGTAGGACTCACAGCCATCGGAAGTCAAGCTCTGAAGAGCAGACCGGTGTCTCACAGAAGGATAAGCGCAAGAAAAACTCGAATAATCTGCCACTCATCGAGCGGCTTGCACTTGGAGACGCTAAATTACTTATTGAAGAAGCGCAGGCAATCTCGACCCAGGACTCAAAGCCTGTAACAGATCATTCTTCCGAAAGCAGTGCCCCTAAGCGATCATCTCTCAAGAGACTCTTCCATATCCATTCGAGGAAAAGCCAAGGCGACAGCGACACTATCGAAGGAGAGCATTTGACGTCGGCAGAAGAGTACTTGTTGTCCAACAATCCACTATTCTCAGGTCAAAACGCACCTGGAAGCACAAGCCAGACACCACCAAGTAACTCTCATTCCCGTGAATCCAGCGGTGGGCCTGCAATTCGGCGCCTGCTCTGTTCTGAGATTGTTCGGCCAGCAGGAGACCCACACTTATCGAAGCCTCAGGCACCAGTCGAGGGTACTCCAACATCACCAAGGAGTGCGTCGCCTGACAACATTATCTACCTCACCTCCATCTTGTCACGTTCAATCTCTCCTTCTACTTCCACACCGACAAAAACACCCCATTCTACTTCTACTCCGCACCCTTCCCCAGAGAGCAGACTTGACACATCTGGTGACACATCTTTATTCGACGAGTCTCTGTCCCGGCACCGCTCCGAATCACCCCTAAGAATAAAACCGACACTCCCGCACCTCATTCCCCGCTCGACAAAATGAATCCACCGCGTGTTTCTCGTCTCCTCGACCCCGCCATGGCGGCTATCACCAAGCACAAAGCGGAAGCGATCAAACTCGCTCGTGAGCAGAGCTCTGCAGTCCAAGAGATGTGCCGGAGAGCGAAATCGGATGTTCCTGCTTACGAGTTTGAGGAGCTGATTGGCAAAGGCTCATATGGTCGAGTTTACAAAGGTCACCAGCTTCCCTCCCGCAAGCTCGTCGCGATCAAGGTTTTGGACATCGACTCCATGGACTACAAATCTCTGCGGGACTTTCGAGACGAATCAATCAACGATTTCATCCGTGAGGCGAAAGTGATGAAGCAGGTCAAAGACTCTGGCGCGAAGAACATAAATGAACTCATCGAGGCTATCTCTATTCATTCGCAGCTGTGGCTGGTTTGCGAATATTGCCCTGGTGGCAGTGTTAGAACCCTGGTAAGTTTCCGTTATATTTTATTCGGTCTGATGTTCTAACATCAGCACTTTGTCTCGTCTCTCTTCCACATTTCCTAGCATCCTTTGCAAACTGATCACTGACGATTTCTCCTCTTAGATGCGAGCCACTAACGACCGCTTGGAAGAAAAATTCATTATCCCTATTGCACGTGAACTTGCCGCTGGTCTCCGTGCCATCCACAATGCTGGCATCATACATCGAGACATCAAAGGTATGAGATCACTTGGACTAAGCCCCCTCTTTGAGAAAGTCTACTGACATTCTTTTTCTAGCCGCAAACGTCCTGATTCACGAAGAAGGAAAACTCCAGATCTGCGACTTTGGTGTTGCCGGCGTCCTTCAGTCTCAGTTGGACAAACGCTCGACCTGGATCGGAACCCCTCATTGGATGCCACCAGAGATGTTCTCGACCCGCGGCGAAGCTCACCAATACGGAAGTGAGGTAGGTGACACGTGTTTCGCATAGACAGTATCATTGCTGACTGATCTAGATCGATGTGTGGGCGTACGGATGCACGATTTTCGAGATCGCCACGGGCAATCCTCCCAACTCGAACCTCCGAGAACGCATGCAGATCGGGAGACAGCTGAACCGCAGCACCCCCAAGCTAGACAATTCGAAGTACAGTGACGGCTTGAAGAGTCTCGTATCCTTTGCCCTGGAATCAAACCCCGTCTCTCGACCTGCAATGGCAGACATTCTGACCCATCCATACATCGCTGATACCGAGGAAACCCACCCCACTTCGTCCCTGAGTGAGCTTGTCCGCATGTACTATCAGTGGTCTCAGCGGGGTGGACAACGTATCTCGCTGTTTCACCCTGGCGGTGCTGCCGCTGCAGAGATGCCAGATACCGAGCCTAGTGACGAGGACTGGAATTTCAGTACCACTGATGGTTTTGAGCGTCGCTTCTCTGTGATTGATCTCGATCAGCTGGCGGCCTCTATCGCTGAATTAGAAGCAGAAATCAGCCCGACCACGAAACCTCAATCTATGCCAGACATCCCTGATGAAACGAGCGATCAGGAAATGACAATTGAAGATAAAGCGAACTTCGATGAGCGGGTTCGTCGTGGTGCCGAAGCCATGGAAGGTCTTTTCGATGAAGAAAAGCCAAGCTATACTTATGAGACAAAGAATGACTTCGTTCCTATTGAACCCAAACCCCCCGCATCCGACCTCCCCCTGCGCACAGACACCGATCGCTCTTCCGTCACCTCTACCTTCATCGACATTGACATCGGATCCTTTGACTCGTCGCACTATGCGGCTGGAGCGTCATCTGCGCAGCCCTTCCAGCTCGCAGACGCCGATACAATTCGCGCCAATAGATCCAGCGGTCGCCAACAGCGCAACTCCACCGATGGTCGCTCTCGATCTTCCAGTAGCGGTGTGAGCAGCACTCGTGACGCTGACGATGTGCCATTCCAGCCATCAACCGGCCCACGACCTCCGACCATGGATTGGAAGTTTCCTGTCTTCATGCAACCTGCGACAGGAGAGGAGCCCGAGCCTGAACCCGCGCCCGCGCCCGAGCCCGCGCAGGCGCCGAAGCCAGCTGAGCTAGACACCTCAGAGAAGCGCGCTACAATGGAGTGGACATTCCCAGTCATGACTGCTCCAGCCGACGATGAACCCATGAGCCACGAAAGCGATGCCGACGTGACCCGCAACAACACTCTGAAAGCGCCCATCATGAGTCTGCAAACCTCGGACACCATTCGACGCTCGAGCATTGGGGAGCCCGGTGATTCCCGGCCTTCCACCTCGCGATCCATTGATTCCAACGTGTCTGCGAGCTCCGAAACCGATTATGATCCATTCCGCTTCGACCGTCCATCTACACCGCCTGGCGCTCCAGCTGCTGCGGAGCCTAAGACGTTTGACGAGTCGGACTTCCCCACAATGTCATTCGACGAAGATGAAGAAACGGATGTCCTTGATGGCCCAGGACCCGATGAAGAAGAAGAATCGACTTCTGCCTGGCATGAAAATTCCGAGCAACGGCACTCGCACTCGGAGCCATTCCCCACCGCCATACCCGTCAAAGACCTCGAGCTCGCCCCTTTCCCCTCTACCACGGACTCCCCCACCTCTGAGCCCCTCCCCACCGCCAGACGCAACCTTCCCATCCTGTCCACCGTAGACACCGAACCCGTTTGTTTCCCGGACGTTCCTCTCCCCCGCCTTGATGCCCTGACGGAGGGTATCGGCGACCACGCTATCAAAGAGGAACTGGACCGCATGCTCGACGGCTTCCTGCATGCTCTCAACGCCACCGGACGTGCAATCTCCCAGACCACGGTGGGACCCGAGGCGAAAGTCAATTCCGACATGGTTTCGACCCCGGAACATTCTGAGTAAGGGACATTATCTTTCAGACGGCGACCGTCCGCGAGACACGACGAGACACAACCCCGAAATCCCAAGACCGAATTTTCTTTTTCTATCCCTTACTTGAAGTTACAAAAATAAAATTTACAGGTGGTGCATTGGAGAAAATCTCGTTTTTTCTTTCTGGAAACCGTATGCCGAAAAATCGGGTATGCTGGCTAATGCATGCATCTGACGCGACGGACTGAGAATGATGGAACTCATGAATTTCACGAACGAATGATCTTGCATTTACGGACCTTTACTTATAGAGAGAATGCAATTCACACGTGATATCCAAATCTAAATTCCCTGCTGGTATAATTGATAGTGTAAGATCCCGATCTGATTTGAGAGGCTGCCTGGCTTGGCAGTAAGAGAGTGTGTAAGCTCTTGTTGATCTGACTTGATATGAGAGAGAGAGAGAGAGAGAGATCCTGATTATTCTGAAGTTAAGTAATTGCAGACAGTCGGTGCTATCCACCCAATTTGTGTCCAAAATGTGGCGTTGTTTCAACATCATAGGGCCGATTTTCTGTGCCTAGTCTGTGTGGATGGGTGCTCCTGCGATAACGAAGACTCGAAGTAGGTTTCCCAAGCCAAAAGAAACAATCAGTAACGTAGTAACCAACAGAATCAATAGACACTTGTCTCCCTCAAGGCTGCTCCAAGAGTCTCACTACAGGCCTTGATGATATCCTGCTGCGCGGTGATCCAGTCAATTGTCCAATGCTCCAACTGCTTGACCTTTGCCACAGCGTCCAAGTCGCCCAGATCTTCATAGCCCGAGCCCTCTATTCTTCTTGGCCACATTTAATCGCTAATACTTCCTTTTCTGGGCCTTTGGAGCAAAGACGTCGACGAGAGAGCGGGAAAGCAGATGGGTACTTTCGGTGTTGGTGGCAATGGAGGCGAAACTCATCATTGCTTCTTTGAAGAAAACTTCGGGCTGGGCGACGGCCACGTTGGCTGCCATTCCTGTCCTAATGCTGAGGAAGTAGTCCGTCTCGCGCGTTGGACCAAATACACAAAGGACTCCGGTCCAGAGCCTACGAAGCGAACGAAGAAAATCAGTCATGTTATCATGGTCTGGTATCGGAACTTCAAGAACGTCACGTCAGATCCTTACCATCCAAGGGGATTATTAGCCAACAAGCCCCCGTCAACCAGATTCACGCTGCCCATCAGAGGCTTGAAGTACGCAGGGGCCGCGGAGGTGGCACGCGCCGCTTCCCACAACTTGATGTTGGCCAGGCCCCTATCAGGCACATCTAGGTCGTTGGTGTACGAGCGAAGGAAGACAGGTCCTCGGTTATTACCGGCTTCCTGCCGGACCGCCATCAAAAAGCTAGGTTTCAAAAACAAAGAAGACAAGTGAGCTTTCCAGGACGATCCACCGAATGGACAGGGCAAGTCTCACACTTTGCAAGACTTCTCCTTGTTGTTCAATAACAAGGCTTTCTCTGCCTCTTCCCCCTCTGGCAGCCTCTTTTGAGGTAGGGCTTTGATCACATCCTCTAACCTATCAGCAGGGTAGAATTGCCCTTTTGTAGCATACCGAGCCATCTTCTTGGCGTAGTCGCAGAGCAAACCATATCCAAACACCTCCTATATCAGCGAGCTATACTCGTCCAGGCACTCCTGAACGGTCATCTTGAGGCGGCCCAGCATGATAGCGATCAACCAACCTATCACCGTCAGCACCCCCACCCGATATAGATCAGGGACCTGCCTCTCAGCGACTGTCCGGTACGAACCCGTCTGTGCTGGTTCTTTCAATAAGATTGAACACTTCACATGGCTTCTCATTCGGAGCACCTTTGTTCGTGACTTCTTTCAGTGACATCAGTGAGGAAAACCTCCTCACACCTCCTTCATCTGACAGAGCAGAGTAGTTAGTCTCTGAGGGATTGTGTCCACTTGGTTGTTAAAAGCAAAAATAAAGAAAAATAAAAAAGCTTGAAGAAATTAAAAAACTATATGTATCTACTTATACCATACGAAAATATCAATTTTTTAAATTTTCACTTTAAAATTAATATCTCAGGCATTTCTTGATATTTTTGAAAAACTTTCAAAGATTCAAATAATAAAAAAAGTATTTATTTGTTTTCTAACTATATTACAATTAAATATTAAAAGTTTTCTTAATCTGGCTATGACCTAGCAGTCGGGTATAGAAATTCCAATTAACCTGATCTGATATGGCCGTTAGCCACTCTAAGATGGGCAGAGGCAAGCGGGCAGTACAGTTTGTGCAGGTTAGTAATAATCTGGCCCAGATTAATTAATTTATTAAGAGTGTGGTTGGTATTGCCGACGATAAAGTAGGAGTGTTTCTTGGTCTTTTCTATAGGGAAAAGGGGGTGTGTAAGGTGAATTTTGAAAAGCTGAACAGGTTTCAGGAAGTTGTCTCGGTGTTTGATGCAGTAAGGGAAGAAGTGCATCCAAGGTTGGGGTTGGTATGTATGTACATCTTATAACTTTTCATTCAGCCCACACCTGCAAGGCGGCGCTTAGGACCTGCAGTGTCCCCCCACTGTGTCGTCGACTGTGCCAACTCATCATGAAAAGATGGCTACGGATTACTACCGGTGACAACAACAATGATTGTGAGCTTCCTATGGAGTGTGTGTTTAGCCTATTCTCCATCACCAGCCTGGCGAAGGGTCGGTATGCTGCATGCGAAGCTTGCAAATGCACAGCTGCAAGGCACATTGCCACGGTAGTAGGGGCAACTATCAGGTGTAGACCATAACAACAGCCTAGATGGTTTTGTCTAAGACACAGCCGGTTGAGAAGTGAATCAACACCCGACAGAAATATAGAAAACATACAACAGGATCAATGTGGCTGTACCCTGGGACTAGTTCAACGTGACCGAAGTCACCTGCAAAAGGGAGTCCAGGTCTTGAGTGAGGGGCCTGATTTCCACCATTCGCACGGTGTATTCTCACACGGAAGAGCTATATGAGCTTTAGCACTGGGATTGCCATGCAGAAGCAAACGTAGAGATGAGCAACCTGGATGGTAGAATCTATACTATGGGTAAGTCGTGTTCTCGTATCCGAAACAAAGAGGTGCGGGGACAAACTCGAATACGCCCACTACATTCCTTCCCCGGCGGCCTGTATTATCACTCCCAGTTGAGCAGCGGTCTAGACGGTGCACAGTATTGTTTGACCCGCGACTACTCTTTTCTCAGCGAGCTGCAAGCGGCAAAGTTGCAATGTGTCCGAAGCTTTGTTCGACCAGTACATATCCTGCATGTCGATTCAGAGCTGGTACAATTTGCTTTTCTTTTCTGGAGATGCCGGCATCAATGCCATTTGGAGTCGACCGATGGCGCGATCTTGCGCACTGTGGTGTAGAGATAATCCACAGCAGTCGATGCTGGGATTCCCTGTTTGCTAGGATATCGTAAATTTATCCTCGGACTTTTTTCTACTTGGGAGCTGAGGCAATTTTATTGTAGAAGGAAAATGAAGGATGAGAGAATGTGATGGTTAATCCTACGTAGAAAGAACTGGCTCGTATACCTTTGACTTGCGAGGTTCCTGGAACACCCGATTCCTACTAAATAAAGTTCTGAATTTGTTTGAGACAATCTATGCTTCCGGGGATAGACAGTGGGTACTACCTTTCTGGTATAGACCGTTGGAGGAAGACCTTGAATCCATTGAGAAGAAATGCTGAGATACTATAAAGCCAGGTTGTTCATGGCGTCACTCTCCAGTGTCCAGCAGCGTCTTTCGAAGGGCGTATAGTGGATTGAATGTATGATTACAGCAATCAACCCTTGTTGGCCCGAATATGACTCAGGAAGCATGCTCATTACTTTCTCTTCTACACTTGTCTCGCCGGGACTATGAAACGTCGCACTTCGGTCTAGAAGAGTAGGGAGGTAAGGGGAAAAAAAGAGAAAGAAGAAAAGGAAAACATACGAAACAAGATATAGTGGTATTGTGAAGAGTAGATATCATGAGGACCTCCAAATAACCAGACCCACAACCGATACGTATCAAACAACCAATAGTCCATTCCTTTTATCCTCCCAGTTTGTCTCCATGGGCTATTCCCTGGCAGTGGTTTTCATGAAGAACTGAAGAGCTCTCCTTTGGGCCCCCCCGGAGATATCTTTGCTTTTGGGAAACTATCACCTGCAAGTATCAAATCTCGTTATGTCTGTCTGTGATAATTACACATTAGGCTACGCCTCAAGGATCTAGATATATCAAGTAACGAGGGCTGCCTAGCATTATCTCTTATATCTCTTTTGAACTAGTGCCGATCAATCAGAAGCAGCTGAGTATTGAAAGATATAAGCAGTTGATACTGTATTATGTTACTTTGAGTAAGCTGGAGTAACCGTATTCGCTCGGTCAATCTTAGATTGAAGCAAAATCACTTTTGAGTGCATAGTTATTGCGCTTTTGTCCAGTAACCCACGTCAACCTAGTACCTTATAACTAGGTGTGTTTCCTAGGTACCGACAGCTCGGTTAGAAGACTGTTGACATTCGTTCTAGTCCCCACTACCCGTTGTCGGAGGGTTTTTCCGAGCTCTTCTGTTGCTATGCCTAACTCAGAACATCGATAGTCCATATCCTGAAGGACTCCCTGCAGAGCGGACTCGGTAATGTCTTCACCGATGTTGTCTCTGTTTCTAAGAATACAGTCAAATTCACCGATCAGCACGAGAGCACATATAGAGGTGCCTTCTAGACGTTGGATCATGTCAGTAATGACCCTCACTGCCACAACCACGTCCTGGTCACTGTGCGCCAGGGCGAGAGACGTATTTAGCGGGATGTTGTGGAACAGCAGGATACGATCTATCATGGCTGTTACCTGTTGACGTTGAGCATTGTGACTCTCGTCGGGCAATATAGCTGGTGCAAACAACATGGCAAAGGCGGCTAGATTCTGTCCTAGTTCGATGGCCCAGACATGCTGGCGCTCCTCATACTTCAAAATCCCAATAGGCCTTGCTCCGGAAGCATCAATCAGGTCGTCAACACAACGCCTGATTCTGCTCCTCTCGTCGTCCAGGTAGTTATGGGTGTGCGCCGAGATCGTACTGGATCTCTCCCAGTCGGACAACGTGATGTCGTCTAGGCCACGATCAACGTTGAACCTATAGTAATGACCATTTTCACCGTATATATTGAGTAGATCCCTTGCTACCCTTCTGGAGGACGTCGCCATAGCGGCCAACGCTCGAACAATGGACATCCTAGTATCTCTGATGGTGACAACGTCTCCGAGACCCGTGCCAATGCTCAGAACAAGCCTCTGTTCGCACCCCGGAAACTGTTGCTTGCTTTCCTCAATAAGGATTTGGCATGGGTTATTGTACCCAAAGCCAGCGTCGATGAATTCGATGTCATCACGGCCAATTTTGATGGACTTGAAGAAGGTCGTAGCTGCTGAAGTTGCCCGCGCGATCTGCCAGATAGTGCAGGAACTGAAAGCGGAGGATGTATCATATGTCTTGAAGAGAGTTGGAGGCGCATCGACGTTGTCCTTGGTAATCGCCAGTACCACGCTATTGTATTTGATTAGCAGTCGCCAGTCATGCTCTCGAATTGTTCAATTTGTGGACATACGTCTTTGTGTATGCCTTTCCTTGAAAGGCTATATTATCATGCGTACAAGTCTCAATCGTAGGTTTTCCTTGCTGTCTGCGGGTCGCGCATTCCCCTTCCGAACAAAACTCTCTTATCATCTGCCTGACGGCTGCTTCGAGGGCTGTGGCAGAAAAAGCACCAGTGGGCCGGCCCGGGAGAATTGGGCCCCATCTGGGTGTGAAAGCTTGCCGGCCAACCTTTCGATATGCTTCTAGACATTCATCGATGGTCATGCCTAGCCTTCCAAGCATTATTGCAATAATTCTAATGGCCCTTAGCATAAGTATACTAGATATATCGAGTGATAGCATTACCCTCCAGTGCTTGTCCCACCGATCAAGTCAAAGTACTCGCATGGTCGTGGGACGTGATTGAGATCTCTAGTATTGTCACGGATGCCCTGCATAATCTTGTCCAGGATAAGGAGGCTCGATATGCCACGAATACCTCCACCATCTGAAGGGAGTTAGCCTCGTTAACAAAACAAGCTCATAAAGCCTTACCAAGAGATAGGATCCTCAACGGTCTGCCCGACGCCGTCTTAGATGTCTGGCTCATTGTTTATCCCTGCGTCATGGTGGCTCCAGTAGAAGGGTTTCAATCGCTGTCGTAGGGAATTGAAATAATGATTGACGTGTGGAAAAGGGCTCCCATGGAGTTTAAATAGATTCAACTGTACTTCTGACGCACTGATCTTACTAAGTAGGAGAATAAAAGAGACCTTGATATACGTCCAATCCTGTTGTCTGGTTGAGTTCCAAAATAATTTTGCTAGATTATTGTCAAAAGTTATTCTCGGACAGTCCACACCTCTTGAATGAGGGATTGGGAAACAAAGGACTATACGATGCTGACCTTGTGGTTACGGCCTGCCACGGAACTATGCGTACCAAATAACCCAGATACGAACCGACCACTCCCAACTCACAAGAAATTGCGAAGCGTTTGGATGCCGGAAAAAATTAAGCTTGAAGTATAGAGGTGTACAGCTGCATGTATAAGTATCTACTTTCCATTAGGACCGCCTAGTTCCATTACTGCCAAGTTAGTCTGATTTGAGAAGTGAAAGTGGAGTATGGCTTTGCAACGAGGAGAAACCGCGGATGGCTCAACAAAAGAGTAAGCTGGTACCGGGTTGCAGTCGGATGATCGACATGCGTCATGTGGCGAGGGAGGCTGAATGCTCTGTCCCTGTGTTAATTAGTCTGTTCGTATCTTCAGGTCCACACCGCAACTAAAGACCTAAGGTGTATTGTAGCTGCTGTTTGAAGAGGATTCACTAGGAGCTTAAAGTATCATATTGTTGTCTAAGATCGGACCGTGTTTAGATCCTGGCACCTGTCCCCAGCTTTTTGGCTCCCTCAATGGCCTCCGTATCGCTCCTCTACTTGGCGCGTACAGCTGAGCTAATGGAGCCTGAATATTCAATCGCATGATTGAGAAATTAACAAAGAAAAACAAAACATACAACAGAAGGGATTCGCTGGTGGTCACCCACCCAACTACTAACCTTCCGGCGAGTGGCTTGAGTACGGCTGAGCGGACGGGAAGCCCTATTTTCCACACCCTGTGGTCGTATGTGCTTGATCCTCGAGCCAAAAAAATGAATAATGTAAGATGAAAAATCTCATCTTTTCGAGATCTAGCAATGCAGTGAAAGCCCTAGGTCTCCAGAAGTTCTTAACATGTACTGTACCTATGCTATGTGCCGTACCAGATCAAGCCATAGCTGTCATTAGCTGGATTCCTCCGGCTACCCTACCATCGATGGTGTAAAGCAGATATACAAAATTGTCAATGATGTTATTAGCCTCTCAAGGAGCTTGAAAAAAGGGTACGTTCCATCACCCTAAAATTATGGATACAGTAGATGTCTATATTACCAGCTTGAGTAGATAATAAATATAGTATGGGTGTTCTTTACAGTCTGACTCTACACCTTCGACTAACTTTTATGTATTCAACTTCGCAGGCGTGAACGGCATATGTCCCTTTCTCGTCGGCTTGGCCTACAAAAGCAAAGCGCCATGATACCAAAAGGGAATCTAGCTCAATCACAACAAGTTACTTTCTTGATATAACTAGGCCCAACTAGTTCTTTGAAGCATTGGGATAGACCGGCATCTAGCGGTAAGGATATCATTACAGTTCTTCTAAGTTGAATGATATCGAAGGTAAGTAGTGATGCTATATGAGTAAAAAGGGACGATAATAGGCTCATATATGAGCATGCTTAAGTGTGAAAACGAGTCTAGATCAGGGACTTAATAATACCCATGTCTGTTCAGTCAGAATACAAGTGGCCACGCTCAAATGCAGCCACAGCATCTATACTGATATCATAGTATTGGCCACAATATGTGACAGATTAAAAACCGATTTCTTGGTTGGTCAATGCTCAGTTGCGTCCACTAGTAAGCCCCCGAAGAGCTGTATTCTGGTTGATCAGGCAGGGAGGGTAGTGGGGAGCGAGCGCAGGCAAGGAGGGAGTAGGTAAGGAGTTTAAACCTGCCCAGCGTTTCGGATACATCCCGGGGCTTTGTCAGGTCAACGCCCACCTCGCCTTTCATATATATAGGGAAAGAGGCTAGTGATTTACTCTGTAGGGGAAGAGATAGCTGTTTCACAATAGTGCCACGAACCTTTCATCATGACCAGACCCCATACTCCATGGCTGGTCCAGATACTTTCTCTGGGTACTGGGCTGTCGCTGCCATGCTTTGAATCGTGCTCAATTCGGTGCTCCAGGTGACATTCAATTGACCCGTGGTCCGAGATTGTCGAATGGCGCAGACATCTTTCTGCCCGGTAATGTCGGGTACGACCAGTTAGCGAAGAGATACACGGACTTCGACCGGCCTACCTTTGCTGCGATAGTAGCTGTGGCATCGACAAGAGATGTAGTGGAAGCCGTACGTCACCGCGGAGCATATCGTGCTCTTCTCGGGGACACAATGGTTGCATCGCTGATTCAGGTCTTAGATCCAATACGCCCGAACCCACCAGTTCCCATTCCTCGCTCAGTCAAGGGGCCATGCTCTGGCTGGCTCCGTCGTCCCAGCCCAGGAACCAATTCAGCTCAACTTACGACGAATCAATGAGGTTAGATTCGACCAGGCCAAAACTTTCGCCACGGTTGGCGGCGGGATGATGATGGACGAGTTCATCAACGCGACTTAAAAGCATGGACAGGTTACCAGTATGGTTTCTTTTTGCTTTTTTTCCCTTGTCTAATGAGATAATCTAGCTCAGTATCCTCCCCATGTACAGGCTTGATGGGGGTGACACTTGAAGTAGGCCTTGGTAGGTCTACATTTTCGAGCCTAATCGGCCTGGCTTGACTCTAGCTTATCGGGATCAGGTCGACTTCAGGGCTTGTACGGGTACATGAATGACAACGTTTCTTAAATGACGGTTGTTCTGTACGACGGAAATGTTCGGACGGTGTCCTCCCATGAGAATCCAGTCTCTGGTGAGGGTTGCGAGGAGCAGGTAAGTCAGGGCTTCGTTATACTTCTGCAACGCATTCTGGACTACAAGCTCGTGAAAATTGACACTTCACCTATCACCACAAAGGACAGCAACTCGGGGTAGTAACAGAGGCGGTGATTCGCACATATCCGCAGCAGAACGGAGGGATGCATTTCGTGGCCGACATGGAATTTAAGAGCACTGATACTGCTCAAGTCTTCGCTACGGTGAACCGCATTTCGACCCCAGCTCTGCCGAGCGAACTGGCCATTACGATTGTCACCCACTACCAGGGCGATGCGGAACCGGTAATCATGAGCCCTCCCCCCCTTTCTTATTGTACCTCTGTTCACACCAGCATACCCGAGTGGAAAATCTAGTCCGTGTTAATTGTCAACTTCGTATGGTCCGGCCCCCACGAGACCTCCCTGGAGTATCTGCGCGTCTTCCGAGACCTGGATCCCACCTCGAGCAGCGAGAGATCCGTGCCCTGGGACGTTCCGCCCTGGGTGACTTATCGGGCCCTGAATCGGCTGATCTGCGACAACCCGGGGGGCCAGAATAACAGCTATTCTGCTAGTCTGGCATTCTACAATCCCTCGGCGCTGGCTAAGCTCGTCCAGGAATGGGAGGACAGGAACCGCCAGTCTCAAGGTCACATCCGGTTTTCTCTGATGATGCAGACTTTCAGCAACGCCACCAAAGCGGAAGAGGATGACGATGCGTTTCCGTGGAGAGGGAAGTTGAATCACCTTGTGTATGTCCCCATACGTGTTTCTGTCCTGGCTCAACCCTTCCATACTAAGCACAATTGGTGACTGGCAGGTCCGTTCAAGCGCACTATACGGACATATCCTTCCGAACCGAGGTGGACAAACTACAAAAAGCCCAGCGAGACCTTCTGGTGAACGCCAGTGGTTATGGCCGGCTGCAGCAATATGTGAATCTAGGACACAGATTGAGCGACCCTGTTGAGAGCCTGTACGGAAGCGAGGGCACGAGGTTGCACCGCCTTTGGGATCTCAAGGAACGGTGCGATCCCGAGGGATGGTTTAATCTGTACCAGCCGCTGCGCCGAGCTCCTCTCGGCTGTCGAGAGCGATGATGAATATCCAGGAATGGCCAGACGATACAGGGGGTCACGACGAGATCTGAGCGATCTAGGAAGTTGGCAACGTTAACTATGATAAGCCTTGGCTGAAAGAGAAGCGGTTTCTTGGCAGAATTGAATTCATGCTGTTTATCTGTGTCCTCTTTCCAAAAGTAAAACGTGAGATAATGGGGCCTAGTTGACTTGGAGCTCTCGGCCTAGGGGGATATAGTGGCATAATAATTCTCTTCGAAGACATTATCGATGCTCCCTGAGTGCTTGTCTGTATGCTGGAGCCTTAGGAACTCCTGCCTGAGTCAGCAGAACAAGCAGGTCTGCCACCGGCGTTTAGGAGGGGAAGCGTGTCGAGGAGAGACGTGTGCATGAACAACCGGAAGCGCGCCTGATTTGGAGCCTCGCTCATGGCCGCCTCCTTGGAGGTTGGGGCCGCGGTGAAGGAGAGCATGGCGGCGGCGGCGGGCGCCTCGGCGTACACCCGCACGGTCATGCTGAGCATGACAGCGAACGTGCCCCCGCCGCCACCGCTCAGCGCCCAGTAGAGATCTTCGTGCTGCGAAAGGGAGGCCGTCCGAAGCTGCCGTGATCACTTCCCACTCCAGCATTTGACCTGCGGCCAGCCCATATTGTGAGGCCAGAAGGCCATGGCCTCCGCCTTGCGTGTACCCCCCGGCGATCCCGATATCCGGAAAGTGGCCCGTCACGACCACTTACCCTGCTTCGTGGTCGCATTCTAGGCTTCGATACCCTGCAGTTCCGCCCTGATGCGCACGGCGGGGCCAATGTAGCTGCGGGAGGTGTAGTTTGAAATTGTCATTGATGGATTTGAGGTGATGCGTTCACAGGACCAGCACATTCAACGTTACTGCGTTGATAACTATCAGCTACATTAGAAATGCACTGCCAATATACTCTTAAGAAAACTTGGGACTATATATCAAGGACACAGGTGTTGAACTATAGATCAAGAATGCAAAAAGGCCCAAGTTGGCGTATTACAAATTGGCGGCACTGTCTTGCTCCGGGCGCAATCGATTCCATGTTCCGTGGAATTAGGGCTGTGGTTCCGACGGAGTATCCGCTGACAAAAACCACTTGGCTTACACACACGACCCATCGTACAAACACTCTTGGGCTTTGGACTTGCCTCTTGCCAGTAAGTCAGTTAACTCAAGTATAAGCTATCGCCATCGCGGGCTTAGCAATCACAAATGGAGATGCGTTCGGAAGCCGAGATGCATCAGCAATTCCTGGAATAGTCATCAGACCTCAGAAATGCTACGATGGTTACGCAGCAGGCAAACAACAGAAGATCTTTCGGACTTATATATACATCATAAGAGTCTTCTATGCATTTTTTTCCTCTCCTAACATCTCAAAGAATCGTCTTCACCTGATCTTGCATTCTCACCTGCCGACATCACCACCTGAACATTTCATTGTCAGAATCAGCGCTGAAATATGGGAATCAAGACCGGTATCACCCTCTATACTGAGGGCACTCCTAACGGCCTCAAACCCACCATTCTGCTAGCTGAGCTGGGTTTGGAATACAAGGTACAGCATCTCCCAACTTGAAGCTATTGACGTTCAAATCAAAGGGATAATGTCAACTAACCCTCGCAAAAGCTTCACCCAATCAACATCCCCAAGCACGAACAAAAAGAGCCATGGTTTCTCAAGATCAACCCCAATGGTCGGATCCCTGCCCTAGTCGACCAGGACGAGAATGGTAACAAGATTACGCTGTTCGAGAGCGGCAGCATGTTGCTGTATCTTGTGGCCCGGTACGACAAAGACCACCAGGTCTCATACCCCTATGACTCTCCCGAGTACTGGGAGACCGTCAATTGGGTCAGTGTTGCAATTGCAGCATTTCAGCCTCAACAAAGTTTTCCATCGTGTTGAAACTGACAGACTCCATAGCTGATGTGGCAGATGGGAGGCGTGGGCCCGATGCAAGGGCAAGCCAACCACTTCGCGAGTAAGGCAAGACAAATGCTTGCATTTGATTATAGGAGACGTGCCCTAACTCCCGTTGACTGTCTAGGAATGGCACCCGAGAAGCACGAGTACGCCATCGGCCGCTACGTGAATGAAACGCGCCGCTTGTATCGCGTTCTGGACGGCCACCTTGCCAAAAGTAAATCCGGCTACGTGGTCGGTGACCGGGTCACGGTGGCGGATATCGCTCTGTGGAACTGGGTGGCTGCTTATAGTACGTGGGTGCACTCGCCCCCTGGGAGCCAGAGCACTGACAGTCGGGCAGAATATAGTGGCCTGTCCAGCATTGACGAGTTTCCGCATGTTCAGAAATGGCTCTTCGAATTGTTGAAGCGGCCCGGCTTTGAGGAGGGTCGGAATGCTCCCGGGCCGCATATATATCTGGAGCTCAACAAGCTGTCGGACGAGGAGTTGAATGCAAAGGGCCGCGCTGCTGGGGCTTGGATTCAGGAGGGAATGAAGCGGGATGCGGAGGTCTGATTGCGGACTTGGTTCTGTCTGATTTGGACTCCTTGGGCTTGGGCTTGGGCATCGTATGTGTGGCGGGCTCATAGCATTCTTCTCATCATGAGAGGCCATGTATCCGTCGTGTATGTGCGAGATGTCCTTTTATGGCTGCTCTTCCATTATTCTTTTTCCTCGTGGTTTCTTTTCACGTTTGGAAGAGCAGTGATTCATTGAGTCTTAGCTTTGTTGGTTGTTCCAGTTGAAATAAGGATACTCTTGATTTGTGACGACTCAATGCGAGCTACGCTATTCGCCATTCTCAAATTAGAAGAAATTTTCGGCTATTAAAAAGACCGCCGTATAGAGCTAGGTAGGCTGCTTATCATTCAAGCCCGAGGTTTGAGTCAACTCCTAAAAATTTATTGATGGTGGTATGGCGTGTCAACAATGCTAGTGCGTGTCGAGAGTATACCGCCGCCCGGGAGAGACTGCAGGTAGGTTCTACTATCGTCCATAGAATACTTCTACTTCTACAGCGAATGGCGAGTGGGATCGTCACTCGCACATGTAACAAGATGCTCAAACGACTATCAGGAACGACCTTCGCTCGATGCCTTGCCATTGGTCAACTTCTGAAAGATCCATTCATAAGACTGAAGAAGAGGCGAGGCTAGTGCCACTGACGATAATCGATAATTTGATGCTGGGTCGTTCAAGTGCATGCCGCTGGCTCGTCTAAATAATTGGTATGTGGGGGAAAGCTTTTGCGAGGAGTGAAAGAAGAAGAAAATTACCTGGTTTGCATGTGATCACAACGAAAGCTGTCTCTAAGGGCTTGCGATAAGCCGATCAGCCTTGGCTCATTTAGTCGATGAAAAAACGACAACTTCGTGAGAACGCAATTTTTGAAATTACGCCACGATATCCCGAGCTTACTCTGATTCTGGCCCAATCCTAACATATCTCTAGCCGAATATTGGCTACTGTGGTTGGCAACAGTGTCCAGCAAATAGTACAGGTTTAACCTAACCCTGTCAAGCAGTTGTTCAGGCCTGTGAACGCAACTTGGATTGAGTGAAATTCTAGATTCAGATAAACCTGTATTCCTCTTTCTGATTCCTCATGCTGGACCCGTCCAGCCACTACGGTGCAACCATTCCTCAAAGGAGGATGCCTTTAACCCCAATTCCTCAAAGGAGTGGTCCTCATGCTCAGCGAAGGCCCCGTAACAGATCTTGTCCGCTGGCAGTATGGCAGCCCATTCCATCATCTCTGTTGCATCCCTCTTAAAGGCCGGCCCCACGAACGGAGCTGTCATCTCTCCAAATTCCTCTGCAGATATCGGGTCATGGATTGCGGGCAGACCAGTGACCCTTGTGAAAGTCTCTATCATCTCAACAGGGGTGACTCGAGAGCTTAGCACAAAGTACGTCTTGTCACGGGTTTTCTCGGCACCCATCTCGAATACCCCTAACCGAACAAGTTAACATGTCAGCCGTACTTCAATGAGTCTCCGAAGCTCGACACTATGTATACTTGGGGAAAGAAACTTACTGGATGCAAATATGCCCATGTCATGGATCGGATCAGTCCACTGCGCGACCTGGCCGCTGGGAATAGCGATACGAAACTGGACAACACCGTCCGCTATGCGATCATCACATTACTCCATATCTGTAACCGAGTTTTAGGTATCTCAAGCTAAACTTACATCGACGGTCACAGTATTGAGGCCAATACAAATTGGTATAAAAGAACCCTGTGCAACAAATCAATTGTCAGTGTAAGGTGTGCAGCTGTGGACCCCCACAGCAATTGCTGCTCCAGAATCACGAACCCGGGATGAGACAAGTCACCGCGCCGAGCCTTTGCTTTGCGAATTTCTCAACTTCATGCTTGTTGTTCATGTGATGGATATTCGGGTATCGACCTTCGGTAGCGCGGACCATATCCGGCAAGCTACTGAAGACGAAGTGCTTAACACCACATTCATCCGCTGCTAGGACGATACGACGACCTGCCTCAACCTCATGTTTCAGGTCTTCTTCTTTGTCCAGAATTCTGCCAGCTTGGGTCTCGGAGGTCATGGCAAACACGCCGTATGCGCCTGCAAAGGCGGCTTGGAGGGACGTTTGGTCATCGACGCGCCCGGGGACGAGCGACAGGCGTTGGTCGATGGTCTGGTGATCGGCCATAAATTTCCGCGCTTTTGTCGTATTGGGATCTCGGGTGATCCCTCGAACGTGCCAAAGACCTCCATCTGGTGTTCTGGAGCCCAGCAGGGCACGAACAATCCCTCCTCCTTGGTTGCCGGTGGCTCCCATAACCACTATGATGCGAGAGGTGTCGGGGATAGACATTTTCTTCTAGCGTGCGATGGTGTCTGATACACAAATGACAGGGTACGAAGATAAGAAATGAATGATGAATCAGTCGAAGAGGAGTTCAGCTGTACGGGTAGAAGTGAATTGGAATGCACTCCGGAATATACATAGTGATTGTCGCATTCGTCAGGCTTTTGTACTTGTTCTCTCAGTTGAGATGTACCCAGTGGGATACCGGCAGGTTCCACGGAACCAGGGTTCCCCGCATGTAAGACTAGGGAAATCAAGTTGGAACACAAAGGTATTCTCAAGGCTACGAGCGATGGCTCTGGGTGGGAAGAAGTTGTTATCTGGGTTAACTTAGTTACCAATCCGCAGAATTAGTCAGCTGACTGCCTGCTTCCGCGGAAGCAGCTGAGTTAATGAGGGTACTTAAATTACCAAGCAGCAGCTCCATGGAGGTGCAAGAATCTCCTGAGAAGCCAATTCCGATAAGCTACAATGGACTCCAGTAATCGTCCGAGAAAGGTGGGACTAACTCGAAAGTCGTATATTGTCCACGAAGCATCATTTAACTGTATTTCGAGCAGGCATGCGACCTGTGTTATACTCGCAAGATCAAGTGCGACGGGCAGGAGCCCCGCTGCTCCAACTGCATCAACTATGCAACCGACTGTACACATATTGCTCTGCGCCGTAAAGCGAGACCGAGAGCACAACGTCGCGCCACACAGAATTTCCCATCTCAGCCAAAGGCCCAAGGTCGGGCAATTCATCAAGCCGAGCGGCTCAGGGAGATTACAGGAGAAGCACCGGTTGACGATCAATCGCCCAAAGATCGGAACCATGCAATCGACACCATGAAGCTCCCTCCACTGCCAGAGGCTATGGCCATGGTCGGAATATTCCTCAACACAGTTAACACAGCCCTACCGCTTTTCCGTGCCGACACGCTCTTGCGTATGGTTGGGCAGTGTTATGCCCTCCACCCGCGACGACGCGATCCACTCGTCTGGGCTGCTATCAATACCGTCTTCGCTCTGGCCAGCCAACATAGGCCCAGTAGCACGATTGAAGGTGTCTTCCATCGTCAGACTGAGCACACGAATGAATATCTCAGCAACGCACAATCGGTTGTCTCAACGGTGATGACGGGAGATGTTTCCCTATTGAATGTACAGACACTTCTAGGCATGGTGATGGTGCTCCAGACGGCGCGTGACCCGACTCCAGCTTTGACGTTGCTGTCCGCCACAATGCGCCTTATACACAAGTTGGGCCTACATAACCGTGCTGCATCAGCGCATCTTGACCTTGTACACCGGAGACAACACGCCCGCGTTTTCTGGATCGCATACATTCTCGACAAAGATCTCAGCCTGCGTGCTGAAATCCCCCCCGTGCAGCTCGATGACGATATCGACGTGGACCTGCCTTCTTCCTTGCCAGTGTCCCTTGATGACAATGACAACACTGCTGGCACCCTTGTCACCGATGATGGGAAAGCCAAGCTGAGTTATTTCTTCGCCCGTATTCAGCTCGCCAGCATCGAGGGTCGTATCTATAGGTATCTCTACTCGACGCAAGCCTCAAAGCAGAGCCCGCTGGAAAGGGCCTTGCTACGAGATAGTATTAGTGTCGCGTTAGATGAATGGAGAGCGTCCATCCCGCTCGAATTCAGCGCCGCGGTTGTCACCTTGACCGCGAGAAGCAAGCCGGCGAGTCTGGGCTTCTTCTGTGTGCTTCACTCAAGCGGGCTGCAGTGCAGGATGCTCATTCACCGAGCTCAGGCGATGGACGAGCAATGGATAAAAGGGGTCCGCAATTTTAGTCGAGGCATCAGCCCTCTACAGATACCGCCATGCTGGGAAGGACTTGTACACGAGGCTCGAGACTTCGTGCTCTTGTTCCAGGAAATCTGGTCGCGAGACAGTTGGTTCCGATGGTATCAATTTCTACCCCCCTACCCCCTTTTCGGAAGGTGTGTACGTGATCGCTAAACTCACGACAGGATAACAACCTGTCCTTACATATCTGCTACAATGCTGTTGACAGCAAACAGCCTCCACAACATTCGGCATAGAAAGGTCGAACTAGACATCGAGCTGATTGATGCTGCCCTGTCTTGGCTGAATGACCTCATATTAGAGGATCCATCGGATGCTAAGAAGAGGTTTCGAGATATTTTCATAGAGGCCACTCATAAGGTGAAGCGAAGGCTTGCTGTCAATGATAGGCTTGAGTGAGCTACGGCAGACGATTGCCGCCGTCGGGCAAATGAATTTCGCCTGCCAAGTCTCTCTACCGCAGGTCTTAACTACTGCTTTCTAAATAAGAACCGCCTATTTGGCATGTGCAGGGGCTACACACGGGAGGCGCGAGTGTCCGACCGAAGTTGCCTAGAGTGGGATCCTTTCCCATGAATCACAAGATTGAAAGTGCAAAGAATCATCTGAACAGCGAAGAATTCAGCTTATTGCTATCAAGGAGCTGCTGAGGAACCTAGAGTGACCTTGTATGTCAGTCTCACATTCGATGCGTCATATTGCATAGGGAAAGGCTGCAGCCAAAAGGCTGAGAAGACTAGCAAACAGGATCATAAGTTTATCATTCACCAGGCAGTACCAACGAGAGAGTTCCTTCGACCTCAATTGGAAAGTAGTCTGTCAGGAGTGCGCGAATGTCGGAAGTTGGAGACGACCATGTTGATAGATTGCCAGTTCGTATTTTACACGTGATCGGTTTGGAATCTCCAGAGAAAAGACGGCCTCGTGAGACTAAACGTATAAAACGATTCGTGATGTAACACGGGAAGATAATATTCCCTTACTATGCTATATGTAGACCAGCGCCTCTTGGCGCAGGCTCAAAGACTGTAGAGAAGCTTTTTGTGCAATGTTTATTTGCGGAAGCATGGAGCTAGACAAAGTAAGGCTGCTGATAGATTTATTCTGTTTAAGGATGCGTTGCCGCTCTTCTGCAATCAGCTGTTCCCGCACGTTATCGGGAATATCATCATGAATCTCCAGAATACCGCCTTGCTCCACATATTTGACGCGGCTTCTTGAATGATGCGTCCTGAGCCGGTAATGCTTTTTTCCAATGGGATCCTGCCAGTAGTACTGACCCTATTGTTGGCAAGGCGGTCCCGGAGACCGCATTTTCAATATGCGTCACGCCAGACAGAGGGTTGGCTCGAGCAGCCTTCGGCATCAATCTGATCATCCAAGTCCGGAGCACTCTATTGATCAGGAGGAAGTTCCTCTTTTGTCAGTTTCTCTCGTTGAACAGTACTGCGTAGTCTCGAATCATTGTTCTCTTGCTCGAGGCTTTTCAGTCATTATTCTGACATACCACACTGACAGATGTACAAGTTCAAGTAACAAGTTGTTCAAAGTATTATAAATCTCAACTCAGCCATGCCTGCTGCTCCTTCACATCTTCCGCCTCCTCCTCCGCCTCCTCCACCAGCTCCCACCGCTGCTACACCCTTCAGCCTCATACTCTGCCCACATCAGGTTCTTCAGGAGCATTTATGGTTCAATTACTGATATACAACAACCACCCCTCTAGAGTCCATTGGGCTTATTTTGTGCGCTCGCCCACCGATCCTCAGGTGGGAGTTATTTCTATTATCTGCTTTTTGGAAAATTTATTAGTTTACCCGTGTGGTAAGTCAGGATCCACGCAACCGGCGATGTAACGGCTTTGTGTCCGAGATTGAGCGCGCCCATGATCTGCGTACAACTCCGAACATCAATATAGTCCCGCTCCAATGGTTTGGCGGTGAACAATTCAATGAACGAACTATGTTTAACGATATAGAGTTCAAGTTGGACAATCTACCGGCGTGTCCGTTCGAGACCAGTGTTCACAAAGTGAAAGCTCCGGGTAAGAGCTTGAATACTACTGGCGGGAATGTAAGTCTTTTCGTTTTTGAAGACCGGTGCTCCACTGTATCTCTCAACTGCAGATTGTGCTAACTCTAGGTTTTAGATAGCAGTCAATGACGTCGGCAAGAAGATCACTCAGAGAAACTGCCAAGCATGGATCATCGAATCTGCGGATCAATCAGCTTGTGGATGATGGTATGTTTCAGAGGGAGGTCGCGGATTATCTTCGCGTAATTGAGCAGTGATCTTAGTCAATTATGGCCATGAGTTATGACTGAGCCCATCACGAGAGTCTGCCAGTATCAACCGCTATTGCTGGAAGCAGTAGTGCCTGAGGTTGATTGGAAATCATGGATGCAGTCAACAGCAGGTCTTCACCTTTTCATAGAATGAATATCTAAACAAGGGCATCCCAGATCTTTCATGTGGTACTACTTAAGAAAACAATGCCGACCCAGCGTGCAATGCTACACCGTGATAAGTCCCCATTGACGTCACTCTGTGGCGCTGCAAGTGTCCAGCATACACCACAAATTAGATGATTATGCTTCCTATCGCCAAGGTACATCTCTTGGAGCCGAGCCCAGAGCGTAGATACACTCAATTTTCCACCGGTCATTAGCGTGGCTGAGATGAGGTGCACGGCCCACGGGTAAGACGGGCTTTGGACACATACCAATAGTGTGCCGAGTCTAGAAGCAACCTTGTTCTGTGGGTTAATGTATGGTTGTATTACCAGCACCAGAATGACCTGCGATATGCTGTATACGGTGGGGGATAAGATCTCAATGGCCCGAGTGCATGGCTTGATCTCAATAAATCTTGCAGCTACCATCCTTTAGGCTCCGAGGGAAAGAATCAGTACCAATAATCGTATTGTCCTGAGAAAGAAATATGGCTAGTAGACATCATGTAAGGGGATTAGCCTGGTCAAATAGCAGACGAAGCAGCCAATTGAGTGGTAGCATAATGATGCTGCGGCTGAGATTACCTATTTAAAGTAAGATGGGCTGAGTTTCAGCATTCTTGATATGGAATTGGACGGAAACAAAATGCGACCTCAACTTCACCTTTCTAGTCCACTGAAGTCCTCTTAGTTGAATGATTCGCAGTCAGTGATTGGACGTGCGCGTCCTGTCTTTGTCTAGCGCCATGCAGTCAGACTCACTAAAGTAACCCGCTCGGCCCACGGCAAGACGGCGAGGTCGGAGCCGCTGAATCCCACCACCCTATCTCTTTCACGCTCAAAAGTCTTAAGAGTTCGAAATCAGCAATCTTTCTGTCATGCACGATCCTTGCTTCATGAACACAAGCGATCCTCGCTGGCTTGTATACTATGAGTGCAGGTAACGACAAACCCCTCGAAGGGGCCCCCGGGCTCCTTTCTACCTGGTGGGGTCAATTCCGTTATACAATCATTCCGTTATCAAACAACACACAGCAACAAAAGCAGCCACGATGGAAGACCTGGCTCCCTCACGGTCTTTCACAAGACCCCAATGAAGGACGAGAAGGACGAGAATGGCTCAAGGGAGCCGTTATCTGCTCTTGGATCACTGCGACAATCCTGACCCTCAATTCCATTATGTTGATTGTGGCACTCATCTTCGCCTATCGCCAGTCGAGCAACCAAGGTCAATTTCAGGTGGTCGAGCTCTTCACGGGGAAGTGCTCCCTGGCAAAACACTCCGCGACGGGCATACATGTAGTGATCAACGTCTTGGGAACAATTTTACTTGGGGCCAGCAGCTGCGTTATGCAGTGCCTGGGTGCGCCCTCTCGCTCGGATATCGACCGGGCCCACGCGCGCTCGCGCTGGCTGAATATAGGGACCTTTAGTTTTCGCAATTTTGCGATAATGAGTCCCAAACAAAAAGTTCTGTGGGGGCTACTGCTGCTCAGTTCCACTCCGATCCATATGATATACAACTCGGTCATCTACTCATCCATTGCGGAGCTCGAGTCCGGGAACCTCTTGATCCCGCACGACCTCTCGTCGAACGAATCTTTGGTCAACGACGCGGTGAGCCGCGAGAGGTTCCGGGCCAGAATTGGCCTCGATCCGGCCATTGTGCAACAGCGGATCTTCGATGGAACTTTCACCAATTTGACAGACAAGGATTGTTGGGCCAAGCGGGCCGATGAGACATTATACAGTACACTTGTTTATGTCGTTGACAGGCAGTACTTTCACAATACGAGCAGTCTGTGGGTAGACGGGGGAGAATTCTCTTCCTCCGAGAACTACTACCCTGTGGAACCAGTCTACTGGAGCTATCGCGTGTGGAACTACACCACTGTCGTGGGCGGGCATCCATACCAGTTCAACTTTGCCGATGATTCTTTCGAAAGTCTGTGGGACCCCTACAACAATACTAACGCAAGCGCTGCATTGCAGGTTGACGTGATGGGTCTGCTAAGTTACAATTCGCAGTACAATCCGACTCAGGAGGCTCTGCGCGAGTACTTGGACACCCCCTCACACTGGCAGAACAGCTCCTGGGCAGCCGCAACGACATTCGAGTTCTTCAAAGAAGGCGACTTGGATATTGGAATATATCCAGAGGTTCCTGTTTCGCACTGTCTTATGGATGAAAGTCGACAGCGCTGTCAGCTGCTCTTCAGTCCACCGATTGCAATTGTTGTCATAATCTGTAATGCGATCAAACTGAGCTGCATGATGATAGCAGTCAGAGCCAGGCGTAGAGATCTACTTTTGACTACAGGCGACGCGCTGGCCTCATTCCTCACCCGACCTGATCCAACAACTCGGGGTCAATGCTTGCTCTCTCGCGCAGAGGTGGCTCAAGGACTGCGATTCTGGGGCTGCTCTGCACTCACTCCCGGTCATAAGAACGGGTACTGGGTGCAAGCACAGAGCTCAAGCCGTAGCCCCAGCCCAGCTCCTAGTCTAGGTCTCGGGCAGAACACGGGATCCTTGAATTACGCGATAGACAACATATTAATATCACCATCCGCGCCGCAGACAACTACTGAACTTCGCCCAAGAGAGGTTACTCCGCGACAGAGGTGGTATCAAGCTGTCAACTGGCCTCGCAGAGTAATAGCCTTATTCTGGTTAGTCGTTGTCAATCCCGACGACCCTCCCCTACAGAAGCCCCATCTACACCTGTCACTCCCACTAACCCAACTCCTAGCTACATATCATGCATCGCAGTGAGCTTTGCCCTTCTCTTCCACGGCATAGGTTCCGATACCTTCCACGAGGCCATGTCCATCGGCTTCAGCAAGTACTCGGAATCCTATCTAGTCAACACGAACACCACAAACATCCTCGCCCTTGTACTGTTAGCCAACACTCCCCAACTCGGCTTGTCCATCCTATACTTTCTGACCAACGGCGTCTTGACCTGCATGCTCCTTGACGCCGAGCTCCAGCGGTACGCCACGCGACGCCGCTCACTCCGCTGTTCCTGGCCCAAGGGCCAACAACGCTCGACCTACTACCTGACTCTGCCTTACCGGTACAGCCTCCCGCTGCTGACAGTATCCGCTTCGCTTCACTGGCTTTTATCACAGAGCTTCTTTTTTGTTCACATCCGGCGGGTCGATATATCCCAGCGATACATAGTGGATGAGGCGCGGGGATGCTGCTACTCCCCGTTGGCGATCTTCATTACTATTTGGGTCGCTGTTGCGGGGCTATTGGTTGTGGTAGGGCTCGGGTTCCGGCGGTTCGAGAGCGGGATGCCGCTAGCCGGGGGTTGTAGTATGGTTCTGTCCGCACTGTGCCATTTACCGGAGGATGATGAGGGCGCGGCCGAAAAGACGGTGATGTGGGGTGAGATTCCAAAAAATACTCCAGGGCTCGGTCCTACACAGAATGACAAGAGGAGAGTCGAAGAGAGGTTTATGGAGGGTACGGGGGAGACGGGGGCTGCCACTGCCGCCCGGGATGGGACGATGGAAGGATATGCACATTGTTCGTTTAGCTCCTTGGAAGTGATGGCGCCAGGGTTGGATCGGTTATATGCTTAATTAGCTTGCGCTGCACCCCTTGTCTGTATCCTGGATGTACGTACTAGGGCAAGGCTGCCTTCCTTTATCTGCTCTTGCAAGTATTATAGAAGAATACTCCCGGGAGAGCTACAAGATGCCGAGTACTGAAAGTCCAGATATAATTGTCTATTTTCTTAAAAAAGAAATTATCTAATAATCTAATGATGGCGGCAATCGTCTGCCGTAAGTGAGCAGGGTTCTCTAGGTATCGGTGCTAAGTTTGGCACTAAGTTAGCTACAGTAGCTAGTGCATACACTACGCGAGACTAAAATGCCTAGTGTATGATGACTTTCCCATCTCTACGACTGCTGACTGCATCTGTCTCCCCTCATCAGACTCTTCGTTTCCGTCACTTCGCATTTGTCTTTCTGCTCTACGCATCTGGGAGATATCTCCATCCTACATACGTATACACATACAATGTCCGATCAACAACAACCACAACCTCTCACCTGGGTCGTCACCGGCTGCTCCTCCGGCATTGGTGAGGCCTTGGTTCGCGCGATCTTGGACAAGGTGAACGAGTCCCCTTCCTCGATACGTCTATGTGGATGCTAAACAGATGGGACACACACAGGGCGACCAAGTCATCGCGACTGCCCGCCCACGCGACGGTGTCAGCGGTGGAGACCGTCTCTCGGCTCTGAAAGACGCAGGCGCTGCCGTGTTCGAGCTAGATGTAAGCAGCTCGCAAGAAGAACTCGACACTAAGGCCCGCGAGATCTGGGAGATATTTGGCAAAGTGGACGTGTTGGTCAACAACGCAGGATATATCGATGCAGGAATTTTCGAAGAAATCACGTTTGTCCCGCCTGTTCTACTTCCAAATCCGCCATGACAGTTCAAAAGACCTAAGACTTTGTTACCCTCTTCTAGCGAGTCGTTTCTGATCAACGCCCTTCGCACTAATGCCTTGGGTCCCCTCAACCTGACCCGCGCCTTTCTTCCTCTGATGCGCGCCCGGCAATCCGGAACCGTGCTCTTCTCCAGCACCGTAGGAGTCTACTACGGTGCGCCGGGGGCTTCGAGCTACACGGGTGGCAAGGGTCTGTTGGAGACCGTCGTCCCCAACCTGGCCCTCGAGCTGGCGCCCTTTGGCATCCGAACGTCGCTCCTCACCTACGGCTACTTTCGCACGGAGGTGATGGCGCCCGGCAATATTCATTACCGGGCCCCCCGCCAGCTGCCGGAGTATGCGGAAATGAACCGTCTGGTGGCGGCTGGTTGCGCGGCCTCGAACCACAATCAGTCGGGCGATCCTGCGAAGGCAGCTGCGGTGGTTGTTGAGGCGGTTAAGGGGACAGGTCGATGGCAGGGCAAGCAATTGCCGTTGCGGTTGCCTATTGGGAAGGATGCTATCAGTGCCATCCGCAAGGCCTGTGAGGAGAGATTGGCGATCTGTGCGGAGCTGGAAGGGATCGTGGATCAGACTGATCTTTAGATGCGCTCTTTCTTTTGATGTGCTCTTTCTTTCTTTTTTTCGACGGGATTTCAGTGAATGAATATATGGTGTTTGTTAGGAGAGCTTCTTTGAAATCATCAGTCAGTGGACTCGTACATGACCTGTCGATGTGATCGGAGTTATCCGCATACCAAAAGGGCATGGGGCAGTAGTCTGACACGATCGCAGAGATCAGTGGTATGTGCAGCATCGGACAGAGTAGGCATCTAGGACCAGATAGTTTGAGAGGGCTGAGGACTTACCAAAGCTGGTAAGTGACAGGAATGCTAGCCATACGCTCGACATGCACTGTCAGATTTTGGGATGTGAATTGGGTTGACATTCACTTCCTAATCAGGAAGGCATGGCATGCCGGAACTGCAGGCATGTGAGGCGTCATCCCCTCCTCATCCTTTCCCCATCCACCGGAAAGCTTCTACCCATCACATGAATGACCTCATCAAAGAAGGACAAAAGTTATTCTTATAGTTGCACACTCTTCAACTCACACGCCAGACACCAAAACGACACGAACGCCCCGCTTGGACGTGTCAGAGACGTGATTGTGGAGACTGCCCCATCTATACAAAGCTTACCTCAATACCCTCGCAACCACCTTTCTAGTCATCACACCAACTGCTCCTAGCTCGCCTCCTCCTTCTGATCTGGCTATGGTGTCGCCCATCATGGCTGAGAAGAGCATCAACTCTCCTCCATCCAGCCCTCCCATCTATCCTCAATCACCTGCAGGATGGCAGGTTGCCCTCCGTGCCATAAAACTTCTCTATGCCCAGCGACAAAACAAGCAGTGCACTGCGCGCGTCTCGGAGCTGCTCATAACCGCGCCAGAGCCAGTAAGTATCTAGCTCTTGGGAGGCGAGTCGACCAGACCCGAAATGATTACCCCGAGCGAGCCGGAGGTGTACGTGAGTCGAGTGCTTACGCCGATCCTTCCAGATCCATCCTGTTCACCAGACGTTCCTCTATTTCTACAGCGCCATCTGCTATGAGGCAATGGGCCTTTCCGCTCACAATTACTCTCGCAACAAGCTCCCATTGCTGCACTCTGCTCTAGACTGTTTCACCCACTGCAGTGCTGTCTTGCCGAGCCCAGTCCCAACCACCGAGCGCTACTCACACATTTCCGAGGCTTTATTTACTTCAGTTCCCTCGGATTGGTCCTCGTATTCTGACTCCCCGGGATCGAGAACTAGGCCCTCGAGCCTTGCAAGCAGCCTTGCGGACATGATCGAACGATCTCTCATCTACGGCAGCGTGGATGGGGATCCCTTTGTCTCACACGATGGCGATGATGAAGACAGACAGTTTCAAGAAGAGCTATGCACCGGGATTCTAGCTACAAGCGCCAGTCAAAGCCACTTGATTCCCTATCCCTTGAATGTCAGAAAACCTTCCGGGGCTTCTATTTCTAGCATATCAGGCGCATGTGATGATGCACCGAAAGCAAGCAAGACCAGTGATTTACATGCTTGGACAAATCGCCCAGCAGCCAACAGTGTCGGCACAAGCAAGATTCCTCTTCCTCGTCCACCTTCCAAGATTCCTCTCAAAGTTGCTCCACGACACGTTCGAACCCCTTCTCCCGACCCTCGACACGGGACACATTTTGCAGAAGCCATTTCTAGCTTGGAAGAAGGGCGGAGAATGCTTCCATACCCCACAGAGTGGTCCAACCATATCTCAAACTACAACAGCAGTATACGCTCTCTTAACACCCATATCACCTCGAGCATCGCCACAATCCGGGCCATGATTGAGGAAGTAACCCAGATGCAGCACGCTCGCCGAGTGTCGAAGAGTATCCGACGCTCGGCATCTTTCTGGAGCTTCAGTCCTGTAAAGGAGGGAGATCGGAGTTCTTCTTCGTCGGCTGTATCTCGTGCCAAGCCTGCTGATAACAGCTCGGGACGAGTACTCGTCACAGAGAGCATGGAGCAGCGAATTAAGAGGCTACGCAGTGAAGGGTGGCAGACAGTTGGAACCAAGTCTCAGCGGCGAGGGTGGAAGGGAGAGGAGTACTACCGGGCCTACTGCTCCAGAGTCTTGGAAGAGCTATACCTGAAGGAAGTGCAGTGATCCATTGTTTTTACTGGTTGCATAGATGTATTGGCGTTTGAGTTGCATTGAGCTTGTTTGCCTTTGACGTGTCAGTCCAGCGCTCTTTTGAGGGTTGCGCTTGGCGTTGAGGATTGCATATGCATAGCATGGTCGCGTCGTTTGTACAGGTAACTTAGCATTGGGGTGATAACTGTAAGGGTAGTCGGCGAAATGGGCTGTCTATATCTCAATGACAATGCAGAAATATTCTAATTCCGATTCCATCGATGAGCTGGTACCCGAGACCAAAAGAGAGCACTGATTAGGGCAACCAGATAGCCACTGCACCTTCACCTTGCATGCATCGCGGATCGATAAGTGGACACAGGATGCATTTCATGCATATCATTCATTTCTTCCTCGAGACTTCCATGCATCGACTTAGTGAGACATAGCTATTGTGAAAGACTCCTTCAATTCTAGGTTAGCATTGATAGTTAGAACCTTGGAGCTAGTGGGACGTGTCAGAGTTGTTTCACAGGGCTCCGAGCAAAAAAAAAAAATGACAGATTGGCTCCAAGCCTGCACGATCCAATCAGTCCCGGGCGATTAAACTACAGACTTTTGTGACTGGTGATAGTCGATTTAGGTAGTACTCATTTACACAGTACAGCTCCGATTGAGATAGATCCGATTTCGAGGTGCAAGCTTGAATTTTTGTCCCCCTTGGCCGCTTGGGGGCCAAAAGTCGCAGCCTGTGGTTTAGCCCAGTGTACAGTACGAGTACGAATTGCTAAATATATCTACTAGTTGACTTGGCATGACCTTTCAGCATAGCGACAATTGCTGTGGGTGTTTGTGGATTCCCAAATGTCTTACTAACGACAGGATATCTGCGTACAGAGTAGTGGACTCCGTACCTTTCTCCTAATAACATCCGTGGGCGGCACAAAATTTGGGCGAGATGGGGGGCCTGGGAATTTTAATTAAACAGGGCTGAATTAGCGTCAGGGACTGGCGGTTTCAGGTTCAGTGCGTGCGCAACTTGCCCTTGGATTCAGTTTCGGCCAGCTTCGGCGGGGTGCCTGATTTGCAAGGCTGCATGCTATTATCTACGAGTAGTAGATATGCCGAGTAGATTAACCTACCCTCCAATGGTCATGCGGACGGACGGACTTGTATTGGCCTGATCCATTGGGCTAAGATTCAGTTCCGTTGGGAATTAACGTCAAACACAATAGTTATTTAACTTAGTTAAGTTGACTTGAGCAAACAATGGAAGTTTATGTAGTGTACAGCACAGAGGGAAGCTCCATTAATGCGGCAGCCTTGTATAAAATAAATGTAGCCGTGGCTGTGCTTTCCACCACCCACGGGCTAGAACTTGGACTCTCGTACTTCCTCCCACCTGCCTCCCCACTATCGAGGTCTCGCTGTCTCTCCCCTCTCTCCATGGTCTCTCTCCCTGACTCTCACTTCTCTTTCCTTTTCAAATAAAACCCTCGCTGGCCCTTATACCTCTCTCTTATTGACTTTCTCTGCCTAATTCTCCCACTCTGCATTGCATTGCCTTGCACGTGCATTGCCGATTAACGCCTCAGGTACAGTACCGCTGCCCGCCCGCCCGCCCGTGTTTACACCCTCTCTCCCTCCTCCACCCTCTTTTTTTACACTTTATTCCCCTCCCCCCCTTATCGCTCATCCGCAACTTGTCTGGTCGTCATCCTCCTCCCCCCTCCCCCCCCCCCCTCGGGATTTTCTACCTCACACCTGACGCAGTTTATTTCTTCTGATCTGGTCAGAGACTCACCCGTAATCACTGCTCCTCTAGTTCAATCTCTCTCCCACGACTCTCGACCGACCGTGATTTTCTCCGACCTCGTTTGAACCGCCCCGCTACTATTCGCACGTGCGGGGTTTCCCATCGATTCTTCGCGCGCTCGCTGGTCAGAGCCCACCCACCGCACACTACTTTTTAGATCCTAAGGCCAGGACATCGGCCTTATCACCCGTCGAGATGAGTTGTACGTTGTCAGCCTCTTTCATGCTTGCTTCCTCATCGCCCATCCCCGTCCCACGAGACATGGTCCACGCCTCGTGGTAGCTTCGCTTGGCTTGAAGCGCTATCGCTGTTCCTTATCCTTTCTCCTCCAATCTTGCTGGTGTCTCGGAGCTGTCAGCCTTCACAAGCCTACCCCCCCCCCCCCATGAATACCTCATTTCCCATCACCTTTCTCTGTGACCCCAGTGTCCGGATTTGGGGGGGATTTCTCATTCTGATCTGCTTTCTTGGTCCGCCAATCTCGTGAGGCTTCGTTGTGGTCTCCGTTTTCCTTATACCGTCTATCTGCCTTGCCTTGGGAGTGTGTGGCTCATGTGCATTGATCTGTCGCTTCTCTTGCAAGCCAATGACTCGACCAGCATGCGCTAACCTTGGTGATTCTCGTTTAGTCTCTAATATGCTCAACAAGCTGTCTGGACAGCCGGAAAGCTACGAGAAGAAGTACGGCTCTCCACCCTGTTTCATATCGTGTGCAAGGCGTACTAATAAGTGCTTTTGCTCTTTCGGTAAAGATCCCACTACAAATTCGGAAGAACGCTCGGGGCTGGCACATATGGTATCGTCCGGGAGGCGGATAGCAGCAAAGGGAAAGTCGCGATCAAGATCATCCTGAAGAAGAATGTCCGAGGCAACGAGCGCATGGTCTACGATGAGCTGGAGATGCTTCAGGCTCTGAACCACCCCAACATCGTCCACTTTGTCGATTGGTTCGAATCGAAGGTCGGTCAACACGGTGGCCCGCTTCGTCGTTGCTTCACCCTCTAACAGCTCGATAGGACAAGTTCTACATCGTCACGCAACTGGCCACAGGTGGAGAGTTGTTCGATCGCATTTGCGAATACGGAAAGTTCACAGAGAAGGATGCGTCTCGAGTCATCCGGCAGGTGCTCGGTGCCGTACATTACCTGCACGAGCGAAACATTGTCCACAGAGGTGAGATCGCCCTTGACTCGCGTCAAGATTCTACACGCACTTGTCTTGCGCAGAAAACTGATTCCACAATGTGCGCGATAGACCTGAAGCCCGAGAACCTTCTATACCTCACCCGCGCTCCTGATTCCCCCTTGGTTCTGGCCGACTTCGGTATCGCCAAGATGTTGGATAGCCCCAGCGAAGTCCTCACCAGCATGGCGGGATCGTTCGGCTACGCTGCCCCCGAGGTGATGTTGAAGAAGGGCCACGGCAAGGCCGTCGATATGTGGTCCCTCGGAGTCATCACCTACACCCTCCTCTGCGGCTACTCGCCCTTCCGGTCCGAGAACCTGACCGACCTGATCGAGGAGTGCCGCTCGGGGCGGATCATCTTCCACGAGCGCTACTGGCGCGACGTTTCCCAGGACGCCAAGGACTTCATCCTCACGATGCTGCAGCCGGACCCCGCCAAGCGCGTCACCTCCGAGGACGCCCTGAAGCACCCCTGGCTGACCGGCGAGACCGCCAGCGACCGCGACCTGCTGCCCGAGATCCGCGCCTACATCGCCCGGTCGCGTCTGCGCCGCGGCATCGAGATCATCAAGCTGGCCAACCGCATCGAGTCCCTCAAGATGCAGGAGGACGACGACGAGGATATCCCCAGCGTCGTCGAGGTGGCTGGCGCCGAGGCCGACGCCGCGGCCCCCCACTCGACCGACCCGGCCGCCTCCTCCCCCAACGGCAAGTCCGCGCCTTCGTCCCCGGAAAGCGACGCCACGGGCCGCAAGAAGCGCAGCCTTAGCAAGGTCGCCCGCGGCGCGATCTTCCGGGAGGTTGTCCTTGCCAAGGTGCGCGAGGCGAAGGAGACCGAGGAGCGCGAACGCGTGGAGCGGGAGGCTCGCGAGAAGACCTCTCATGCTTGATTGCTGGTCGAGTCCTACGAAGTGTAGCGAACTTTCCCGATAGAAAGGGGCAGAGAGGGTGTGAGATGTCTTTCCGACCCCTACTATCTGTGTGCCACTTTTTGCTTGGAGGGGGGGGGGCAGCATTGGCTTCTATTCCTGTTTTTCTCTTGGACACCATGAACAGACACCGTGGAGAATGCTCCTTCTGCATTTTTTTTTCTTCTCTTTCAAATATGATTCCCCGTCCATAGTTTCCTTGTCTTCTAGTGGGTTATATCCATCTTTGTGAACGAGAATCTGATTTTGCATCTGGCTGGTTACATCGTACGGTTTGTGACGGAGTTAGAAGACAGTCATCGAATAGTATTAGTAGAGATATAGTGGTTCATTGCTTGAATTCACAGATGGAACAGAAGACAAGGCAAGGCAAGACGGGGGAGCATTAGGCGAGGCAGTAAGATATGTGGATGTGGAATCCCAAATGCTAGAGGAAGAGAGATGGGAGATGGGAGAGGGAGATGGGAGATACGTGCCTCAGCCATCCAAGGGAATCGCATCGAAACCAGAAATAAAGAACAAGAAGAAAACTCCGGGTACGCCCGCGCCAATAAACCCCCATGCAGATGGAAAACACAACAGACGACAGAGGCGTGAGAATAGAACCCAAGAACGCAGCCGCGGGAAAGAGGTCACTCAAGTATGATACTTCACTCCCCGGTCCCGCCTGTCAATCCTCTTCAATCAATCGCCCTCAACCACAAGCCCCCTTATCCCCCTATCCCGTCCCCCGCATCCAGACCCCAGAATAGGAAGCGAAACAGCTATACATTATCATCATCATACATGAAGTTGATATCCCTCGGCCGACGGCGGTTATACGAGACGAAATCCTTGTCGCCGGGGGGCCGCTCGTTGCGGCTGTTGGCCGTCAGCATGCTCTGGATGCTCATACAGACGCTCTCGACCGTCTGCACGGGCGACCAGCCGGCCGAGCTGAGGAGGTCGAGGCAGATGATCCCGTTGCTGTAGATGTGCGGGTGGATGGGGATGGTGCGGCGGGGGTTGGTGGTTGCATTCGCATTATTCTCGTCGGCGGCGGCAGGGGTGGTGACGAATTGGACTTCGGGGGGGTTCTAATATATTTCCCGGGGGGGATTAGCTATGTGTATACTCATATATATATATACACACGGGTATATGTGTAGATGTGAGGGTGGAGTGGTGTTAGTGGCAGGGGTCACGGGTGGGAGAGCAGCGCGGGGTTGGATTCAGATCGCGGGGGTTCCATCACCCCTCTCTCTCTCTCTATCTTGTGGCAGCAGGGGAACGACGCACCAATTGGATATTTATTGCTGAAGGTGAACTTCAACCGGTAGGTTTCATTCAGATACAGCGGGTTCTCGTCCAGCACTTTGATGTCCATGAGCCATTCTTCGAGGTTGTCGGATTTGACGATCGAGATGCCGGGCGGGAGGTGTTCTTTTATCTGTATGGCACGAACAAACGCGGGGTGTTAGCTGGTGGGTTGGATCTTTTTGAGGGGTGTGTTGTGTTATATATTAGATGTCGAGGAGAGCGAGGTTCTTGCGAATGGAGATAGATCCCATGATTGTTGAGGGATCCGTGGTGGGGAGAGGGGGGAAAGGCAAAGTCAACTTATTCATACCTTGAGAAGCTCCTGCGACGGACGGTGTAACGTTAGCCGGGGAAATTTATCTTCGCGGGGGAACAGGGGGAGAGACAAAAAAAGAAAAGAGAATATACCTTGCTTAACCGCTTTGTAGCGAACATCTTGTAAAAGAGGATTTTCCACAGCACACACTCAGAAGATCAAAGGCATCAACTCCGGGTTCCAGCGGTGTTCAAGTATAAAAGACGGTGGCCGTTGAGTGAGGCTCTGCGGAGTCGAGTCGTACGGTCAATTTGGAGATGACGTCTGGAACGTTATGGGTGGGCAGATGCGAAACAGGAATGCAGTCTCCGAAAGAGGAGTGTTGAACATGGAAAAGGATCGAGTAAGAAGGTGTATCCGCGAGTGGGGGGGGTTGTTTTCTCTGGCAGAAAGGTTTATGCAAGATAAATTGTATGAAGCAAAGAAAGAGAGCGTCTGGTCTCGGGCGGCTCCCCCAGAAGTAAGTATGGAATGGAAAGAGTAGCTCCGCCCGTCGATCAGCTGGAGATCTGCCCGAGGCCCCCGTCACCTGATCTTGGTATCCCCACGTGATTGTGCTGGCGGCCGTATAGGACGGGACTCGGGACAGTACAGCAGTTACCACATGCAGTAACTTACAGTACATGATCAGGTCAACTTCTCTTCCCTCTTGACCAATTTAGATCATCTCACCTCATGATACTAGGTACCTAATACTCTACCATCAATCACAGCCCCTGCTACTCACTACCATGGTTCCAGTGTCAAAAGTGGTCAAAATTTTTGGTGTCACTATACACAGGGTGATTTGAAGATATAAAAGGAAACTCGAGACATGGTCACAGTGCAGCACGAGACAGAAAACATAGGAAATCAGAACAAACAGAGTCAACGCCATGAAAACCAATTGGTACAACTGATATATCACCACAGCTCCCTGCTCCCACACACTTCCCATACACGCACAAGTGATATAGACAATTAATCTTTTGTTCTCTCTTGGTCATTTGTATTCGCTTCTAAATAGCAAAAGAAAATAATTGGGTGCCACATATCAGGATCACGTGTCTTGAAGCTGTTTTACAGGTCTTGGAAATACTCAGCCACGCTTCATCCAACTTCTACCGATCGACTTCACCGAACACAAGATCCATAGTACCTGAAGAACACGGTTAGCTGATTGTTTCCTTTTTGTTTTCCTTTTTGTGAGAGTGAAAAACGGGCAGAACGTACCAATAATAGCGACAGCATCGGCCAACAAGTGACCACGAGATACTTGGTCGAAACCACCCAAGTGAGCAAATCCGGGAGCACGGATCTTGCAGCGGTAAGGTCTCTCGCTACCGTCACTGACCAGGAACACACCCATCTCGCCCTTGGGAGCCTCAATGGCGGAGTAGGTCTCTCCGGGGGGCACAGAGTAACCCTTGGTGAACAGCAGGAAGTGGTGGATCAGAGCCTCCATGTTCTCCTTCATGGCGGCACGAGGAGGAGGGGAGATCTTGTAGTCCTCGACACGGACGGGACCAGCGGGCATCTTGTTCAAGCACTGGTGGATAATGCGGAGGGACTGGCGGAATTCCTCCATACGGCACAGGTAACGGTCGTAGCAGTCACCGTTGACACCAACGGGCACGTCGAACTCGACCTGGTCATAGGCATCATAGGGCTGAGACTTGCGAATATCCCAAGGGACACCGGATCCGCGCAGCATGACACCGGTGAAACTCATGTTCAGAGCCTCGGCGGCGCTGACGACACCGACACCCTGGGTTCTGGCCTTCCAGATACGGTTGTCCGTCAACAGCTCCTCGGTTTCGTCAATGCGGTCACCGAACTGGGTAGCCCACTGGTAGATATCGTCGAGAAGACCGATAGGGATGTCCTGGGACACACCACCAGGGCGGACGTAGGCAGCGTGAAGACGGGCACCCGAAACTCGCTCGTAGAATTCCTAGGACAAACAACCACAGATTAGCTCAATGGAGCTCAATTGACGCGGACAGCGCGGCCTACCATGAGCTTCTCACGTTCCTCGAAACCCCACAAGAAAGGCGTCAAAGCACCAACATCCATGGCGTGTGAAAGGACGGACATGAGGTGGTTCAGGATACGGGTGATTTCGCCAAACAGGGTACGGATCCACTTGGCTCTTTCGGGGATCTCAACATTCAGCAGCTTCTCAACAGCCAGGGAGAAGCACTGCTCGTTGGTCATCATGGAGACGTAATCCAATCGGTCGAAGTACGGCAGGGCCTGCATGTAGGACTTGTACTCTATCAACTTCTCGGTACCACGGTGGAGCAATCCAACGTGGGGATCTGCGCGGACGATCTCTTCACCATTGAGCTCCAGAATCAACCGAAGCACACCGTGAGCAGCCGGGTGCTGGGGACCGAAGTTGACGGTGTAATGGCGGATCTTGCGATTAGCCCCTGTGTCCGTGGACTCCATGTCGGCGGCGTAATCGTCTGCGGAGGCACCTTCCTTGTTGGCGAAGGAGGCAAAGGTCGGGTCCGTCGGAATGAGCTTGGTCGCCTGGTAGCTGGTCGGCTCGGCCTGCCGGCGAGGCAGAGTCGTCGTGATCGAGCGGCATCTGGGGAGAGCACTGTTTCTGGAGAAGGTAGAGGGGCGGAGGCAAAGCCTTTTGGGCGCATTGCCCGCCAGGCGAGCGAAGGGAGCAGCCATTCGGAAGAGCGGGGAAGAAAGGACGAGGGTGAGAAGAGGCGGATTAGCCCTCAGCCCAGACACAATGGAGGTGTTGGAAGGAGGGGTGGAGATGCGGGAATTGGGATGTGGAATTGAGGCGGGCTCAGTGACGCCTGCTGGAGGTTGCGCTTTCCAATCGAGATACATTTTGGATCGTCACGTGAGAGGAGCTTTCTGGTCATCAGGCCGTCTCTGGTTGGTCTCCCGCTCGGCCCTCTATTACTCGGCTCCCTAGTGCGGCCGACAGCCATTGCCGCTAGGTGCAGAATAGAGAGCCCTGCTCTGCTCCCCGTCCCGCTCTTCGCCGCCTTTGGCCCTGCAGAAAATACTGCCGCTGCGGTCAAAGAACTTTTCTGAGAATCCGCTTCAAATTATTGTCCCTCCGTCACCTTCTTCAATTCCCCCACTTTTCTCGCCCATCATGGCACCCCTTATCGCTTCGCAGGAGGAACTCCAACGTAGACGGGTATGCCTGGCTCCTTCGCTCTTGCTTCTAACAGCTTCTCCGACCCTTTCATACTAATTGCGCTCCCAGATTGTCGATATCAATGCCGAAACCGTCTCTAACTTCGCCTCGACAGATTTCCCCGGTCACTGGCCTGGCGAGTCGCACGAATGGAATCTGCAAAAATTCCGTGATGTATGTCCGTCCAGCTCAAATTCAGTCCAGCTTCCTTCACTGCCAATCTGTTTCTTGCGCGCATGCGCTAATGTACCTTACTCTCGCACAATATAGAACTTCAGCGTCGAGTTCCACCGGAACGAGCAATTCGAAGCTTCCTTCTCGCTGGTCGGCGTCGATGCCTCGATCGCCAATGCCTTCCGCCGCATCCTCATGGCCGAGGTGCCCAGCATCGCCATCGAATTCGTCTTCGTCCACAACAACACCTCCGTCATCCAGGACGAGGTGCTCGCGCAGCGGCTGGGTCTGATCCCCCTCAAGGGCTCCGTGGAGGGCATCAACTGGATGCGGTGGTTCAAGAAACCCACCGAGGACGATCCGGAGGGCGGCAGCACCCCGAGCGACTTCAACACGATCGTCCTGCGCCTGGACGTCAAGTGTGAGAAGAACCCCCACGCCGCCGCCGGCGAGGACGACCCCCGCAAGCTCTACAAGCACGCCCACGTCTACGCCCGGGACATCACCTTCCACCCGGTCGGTCGGCAGGAGCAGTTCTTCGTGGGCGACGACGCCATCCAGCCCGTCAACCCGGACATCCTGATCGCCAAGCTGCGCCCCGGCCAGAAGATCGACATGGAGCTGCACGTCGTCAAGGGCATCGGCGCCGACCACGCCAAGTTCTCCCCCGTTGCGACCGCCTCCTACCGTCTCCTGCCCGACATCAAGATCCTGCGCCCCATCGTCGGCGAGGACGCGCACAAGTTCGTCAAGTGCTTCCCCGCCGGGGTCATCGGCCTGGAGCAGGTCACCCGGGAGGAGGCGTCGCAGAAGGGAAGCGGCTACGAGGGTCACGAGGGCGAGATGAAGGCTGTCGTGCGCGATGCCTTCAAGGACACTGTCAGCCGCGAGTGTCTCCGACACGAAGAGTTCCAGGGCAAGGTGAAGCTCGGTCGCTTCCGTGATCACTTCATCTTCAACGTGGAGAGCGTTGGCCAGTTCGACAGCGACGTGCTGTTCTTGGAGAGCGTGAAGGTGCTGAAGCTGAAATGCGCGAGATGGAAGCGGGGCCTCGTTGACCTTGCGCGCTAAATTCGGTCTTCCTCCCCGCACCTAAAATGATTTGAAGCTATATAATGCATTGGCCAGGCGTTGGATTCCTATTTGTTTTTTTGTCCTGTGCTTTCTTATTTCTGCGTTTGTACATTTTACGGAAAAAAGTTGGTCCACACAAACCTTCTTTACAGCTTGTCGGGAGTCCGGACAGGGAAACAACTTTTGAGATAGAAAAAGCAGATTTGACTCCTACTAATTGCTTGATATGGCTCATCGTAGGAGAATCGTGTATTCTTCGTAAACTATTGTGCATTTGCACTATATATATTCCGGTATCCGCAACATATGGTGTGGCTCTTACTTAGCTGAAATCTAGCCTGTACCGGAAGTCGATGGTATAGGCGGGGTCACTGACTGCGATCTCCTGACCATCGGCAATCAGATCGCTGAGCTTGAGCTTTAAATTGGGCCGGGTCTGCTCCTCCAACTGCGGCGGGAACCGCTGGTAGAGGGTCTTCTCCTCCGTGCGCATGCTGGGCTTCTTCAGCTGGGCCTCGGGTCGCTCGCCCAGCGCCTCGATAAAGGCCTCCAGCGTCATGTTCGAGTCCACGGTCATGGCGCGCGCGAGGTTACCGCAGACGGGGCAGTCGGGCTTTTTCTCCGCCTCGAAGGTGTACGTGTAGACGCCCTCCTCGCCGGCGTACATCATGTAGTTCTCCAAGTACGGGTTGCACGAGGTGGCGATCTTCAGGGCCTCGGAGGTGGTGGCGGCGGCGATGACGGCGTTGGTCGAGGCGATGGCCGGGATGATGTTCTTCACCACGCCCTGGGTCATCTGGAAGGTGACCCCGGGGATCTGGAACTGGCGGGCCCGCTCCAGCGCCGCGTTGTAGATCCAGCCGATGTGCTCCAGGTCGTCGCTGTCGAAGGTGTCGTCCTTGCGCTGTTCCTGCCAGGCGATCTGGTGGGCCCATTCGATGCAGTGCTGGGGCTGGCGCGGGATGGTGGCGATGGTGCAGAGCGGCACCGCCGGTCGGGGCGCGTGCATGTCCAGCTGGCACTCGATGCAGGAGGAGAGCGTTGGCAGAATCACACGAGCTTGACCCTTGAACCCTGTTTTCCTGGAAATGAGCCTCCATTGTGTGTTTTTAGGGGGAAATCAAGGGACGCCAGTTACCTTCGGTTCCGCCATCGATGAGGGGCTTCAAGCTCTCCGGGTTCTCGAAGTCAACCATGCCCACCAGGGTCGAGTTGATCCAACGTCGGGCTTCGATGCTGTCAAGGCCGCAAACCACGATCTTGAATTGCATGTAGTAGTCTTCGCCTTTGTCTTGGATCTTGCCGACATAGGGGGTGATCTTCACGCCTTTGACACGTTTCTCCACAAAGGCAGCCGCAACCTCCGCTTTGGGTTTGCCGATATCAGATTGACGGAACAAGAACTGACGGTTGAGGTTGGAGATGTCGATTGTGTCTGTCCTGGTTGATTAGTTGATGGTCAACTCAGGCGTGGGGATGAAGAGCAACTTGCCCATGTCGATGACGTGAATGTCTTTGAAGCCTGATAAGGCCAGGTTCTTCAGGATCTCACATCCCAGGCCTCCAGCACCTCTATGGACGGTCCCGGTCAACTCTTATCAAGTTGCTGGTGATTATTTTTGAGCTTACATGACTCTATTCGTTATTAGTGAAAAGCGCGGTTGAGACAATCACTGATACTTACAAGATCTTGGATGATTCTAGAGTGCTTATCGTCTCTGGTCCAGGAACCCAGTCCTCGTCACTGAATGGGCCCGACCTCGTCAAGACATTATACAAGTGCTTCCTGGACGGGTTCAGCATCTGTGCTCGTAATTTGCCGGGCCAGAAAACTGTACCATCGGAGCTTTTGGTCTATGGCGACCATTTTGGTGGGATGGTGTTATAAGAAAAAGCTAGTGAATTCCCACCGGAGTTGCTGATACTCCAGGTCTCTGGGGCGCGTGTATCTCACCGGTACATCCGAGATACAACAGTTCTGTCTCTTTCCGACCGCTGGATTGAACGCAAACTGAATGGTATAGCCGGCCAATATTTCAAAATCTCCGACCTTCCGTAGCTGCGGGTGTAATGCAGCGGATGATGAGACCACAAGAAGTTCGCTGGTGACGAGGGGCAAAGCAAGTTGGAGTTGAATCCTCGATCGTTCGAGGGACCGGATTCCGAATACAAAACACCCGCCTCACGTGACATGACATCCCATACAAACTCCTTCCACCTTAAGTAATTTTGCTCGTCTACACCACGAACCGAACCGACGGGTTCATCCACTCATGATATGGACAGACTTCTCACAGTTGTGAAGACGGTCACGCCGGATCGAGAGACGCTCATCTCAGCGGCTGCCGAGTCGTCGTCGCCTGTGGTCACCACCAAAAAGCGGATTGTATCCGAACTTGATCGGGACGTTTCGTCACCTCAGGATATACTAGCGCTCTTGAAGTCCAAGCCCGACCAGGACCAACTCGCTCACGCTCTGGCAGTCCTTGACCCGTCAAGTAAGATAGCGACGCTGAACGACTTTGACATCCGAGTCCCAGGTCCCGAAACAGCGCAGATCCTCAATGTCCTGGTCACCGTTACTCTTCCGGATCATTGGGATGCCGTCCATGCGGAATCTCGAAGATCGAAATCGAGCTCCAAACTACGTGCGGCCTTGTTAAGATGCCTCAGTAGTGTTGCAGGTATTAGTTGCTTGTTGGCCCAGCTTCGCTCTCTCATCACCGCCTGTCGGTCATCTGCTCAGGAAGCGAGTGCATCGGGCTATCAGCTCCAGGCTAGAGGCATCCTGTCAGTGACATGTGCTCTGCTGGAGCCCAATGATCTGATGTACCGTCTGTATACCGATATCGAAGGTCTCTATCGTAATTCAGCTCGAAAACAAGCGGCATGGAGGGAATTGCTCTCCCACGTTGCTGCTAGTAGGATCCTCTCGACAGCCGCGGAGGCGATATCACTGATTAAAGACCTTGATGGGGTCAGCTCTTTGTCGTGGGTGGGAGAAGGGCCTAAGTATGCCTCCTGGCTCGGCACAAATATATGTCACATGGCTTCGAAGTTGCCTCTCGATAATGAGGAGACTTGGAAAGCCATGGCTACTTTGACCGGACGCTCGTTGAGTCTTGGGTACACTGGTAAGATGCTCTGCTCTGACATTATCTTCGGTGTTGACGTGGAGTCTAGACCATATGGTGCGGGAGATCTATCTGGGACTTCTTGTAAACGAAGTGAACTACCAGCACTATTATACTCTTTTCGACCATCTGCGACCGAATGAGCAATTCGCGATCATAGAAGCCATATTCAGAGACATTGAGAAGAAACATTTTTCATCAATCATTCCTGGTGAGACACAGAGTGTTTCGCAAGAAGTGCTTAGCGCTGCTGCAGCCTTATGCTCCCTTGTCACGAAGGATAGGCCGCAAGTACAAGCACAGATTATTGATTGGCTGTCGAAAGGCCAGGGCGGCTCCATACATACTATCGAGCTACGCCGTGCACTACTGTCAAGCTTTGCCCATACGACAGGTGAGAGAGATAAGGAAACATGTCACTAGCTTGTGTACTGACTGACATATGTTCTCGAGATTTGATGGTCTCTTTGGTTACTAAGAGCCTTGACCAGTCCGGAGACAAGCTCTACATTCAACATGCCCCAATCAGATGTCAAGAGGGTACTGTGTCCCTAAACCCTCAGTCCAGTCCTTTCACTGACATATCTCAGCAAACACCCAAGTTATCCTTCTGACTTGCGGATATCTTCAACAAACTGACCCGCTGGTGGTGATGCGTGTGGGTCGGTCGGGGATATTCCTTAATACAGTATCAAATCGCCTGGCAGCTTCTTCTGGGCGAGCGCGCTTTCTTGGGATGCTCATTGGTACAGCGATATCGCAACTGATCGAGCCAGCCGGCAAGGGCATGAAGTTTGACCTTGAAGAGATGGAAGGCGATGAGGCAAAGTGGTATTTGAGTTTGCTCAATCTGCAGGACAATGCAGGGTCCCCCGAGTCGATCAAAATTCTCAAGGGGTCCACACCGTCAACACAACGAACGCCTTCACAGAGAGTCCCTGCCATCAAGGGGGTAGGTACCTCGAAGAAAGGCAACACGAGGACGGCCAAGATTGTTGCGATCGAAGAGATCGAGGACTCCGAAGAAGAATCCGAGGATGATGATCTTGTTCCTTACGAGAAGCCCGATGAGGATTTCTCCGATGACGACGAAGATCCAACACTGGTTCAGCGGAATAAGCCCACAGCACCTGTGTAAGCTCATAAAGCGAGTCCTCACCACAACACAACTAATTTAATTTTCAGATACATCGGCGATCTTATCACCTACTTACGGGACACCGAGAATGTCGAACGCTTCGAGTTGGCCGTCTCCACCGCCCCTTCCCTGATACGACGCAAGACTGGATTTGGTACCGAGCTTGCTGAGAATATCGAAGAGCTTGCTCTTATGGTGGTAAGCCTGCAGGAACAGGGGAAGCTTCCCAAGTTCCACGAGTACCAGCTCCAAAGCATGATCGCGTTGATCGTCTCTCAGCCACTGAAGATGGGTCACTGGTTCGCAGCGCTATTCTTCGACGGAGACCTTTCTCAACCGCAGCGCTCTACTGTACTGACAGCACTCGGCCTAAGTGCTCGCGAACTAGCTGGTAACGGCGAAGCCGATGCCAAAACTCTTCGTCTTCCAGCCTTGCCAGATGCCTCTTTCCCATCGAAGAAGCTACCAAGTAGCCTAGAAGCCTTTTACTCGACAGAGTCGCCCATCGCAGGCCTGACCAGGTCACTGGCGCAAGCTTCTTTGGAGCCGCTTGCAGCTCATGCGGAAGACTCACTGTCTGGACCCAACGCCCTCAAGGTGCGCACGTTTTCTTCGCGCATGGAGGTCGAAAAGAGGCGCCAGCAACGTGAAGCGCAGCGGCAGAAGTCGACTGTCAAGGATCTGTACAAGGTGTTGGCACAAGGATTCTTCTATCCCCTCAAGGGACGTTTCGAAATGATGATGATGCAGTTCGGCTCGTAAGCCCTCCCCCATCTCCAGCCTGGAACCTGAGAGCACACTAACTTCTTTCCTCTGCTTGCTAGATCCACTGCTCCCTCTTACAATCCCTTCTACGTGCCACATCTCCTGTGCCTGTTCATCCAAACACTGACCCTTGTCCTCTCAACCATGGGCCCCCACACACCGTACCTGCCCAACCTGACGGGAGAAACCCTGTCATTCTTGCTCTCGCTCCACGGCCGTCCGCTCGCCGAAGACCCAAGCATCCTCTCCGCCCTCCTCTCACTCTTCCTGGCCGTAGTCGACCTGAACGTCGCCTCCGGCACGACCGGCGAAGAGCGGCTGGTCACCGAGTTTGCGACGCAGGTCGTCGAGCTCCGCGACTGGGTCGGGGAGGTCTTCGACCGGACGCCCGCCGTGCAAGACACGAGCGATCCACGCGAGCAAGTGCGGACGTTAGCTGCGGGCGTGATGGTGAAGCTAGGGGAAGTGATGGAGAGATATCAGGGGCGGTTGATGGGCGTGAACTCGGGATTCAGATATTAGCTATCGCTTTAGCTTTGCACGGGAATGCTGATCTGGCGATTCTCTTCCGAAATCAGCTCTAGCCCCGGCGACATACATCCAAGGCCATCATCCCACCTGCATACTGGATTGGACTGTACATGATACTTGTTTTCACACGTACAGTATACACTACACATACCCTACCCCCCTCATAAATATCCCTCCTCCTCCACCTCCCCCTCCGCCATCAGAAAGTACATCCACCAAAAGCTCCACCGCAGACACCAAAACCCAGCAAACATAAAACACCGTCCATTTCGTAAAATCCAATCCCCAAAACAACCCTCCCGACAATCCCACACAACAGCGCAGCTGGCCGCCGCCACCACCACTGCCCCAAACTCAGTCCCAAAAGGACCCAGGACTCAACCCACCCACCGAAGGAAAACATACACTATGCCGCTTCGCACAAGCACATACTGTACATACCATACCATACCATATGCCTAGCATCTAGTCGGTTGTGCCATACACTGCAATAAGACGACAGTGCTGCAGTACCTCGTGCACAAACCACAAAAGCTAAGTTACCACTGCATTTACCCATCCACCACCCATTGGCCCCGAGCACACGACCACCCCCGGCCAATTATCAACGAACCCTAAATGACCCAAAAAAGCAGACCTACACAGCAAAAGCCCTAGTGCATGAGCATAGACCATCAACTTTCATTTTGCTTGACTAAGACTGAGACAAACCACAATCTGTGAATAGTGGAAAATGGATTTTCGGGGCGCACGGGGGAGAGGACATCGTGCCTGTACATAGCCTGTAGGGTGACTCGGGCGGGATGGGTGGGAGGGAGCGAGGGTGAAGGAGAGAGCGGGTCGTGCATGAAAATGAGGCGCACGGGGGCAGGCAGGAGGTGGTTTGAGAGTTGCGGGTAGTGGTGGGATTCGGGGACCTTGCTTTCTACTTTTCTTTTTCTCGGGTTGGAGAGCCTGAAAGGCATTGAGGAATGGACAATGACTCGGGGTAGAGTGCCTGTCTAGTCTTTTGAGGCATATAGCAATGGGATGTTCAAGATTTTGATGGACGTTTCAAGCAAGCCGAAAGAAAGTACCTGATGTAGCCCTGCGACGAGGAACACAATTGATCTGAGGGCGTGTAGAGCAACAATGCCAATGTACAGTACTACTAAATAGCACAGCCACCATTCTTGCCCTCAGGGCTTTACTTGGAATACACCAATTACAGAGAATGCAAATAAATGTTCATGTCAAATCTTTATTAGACAATTAATGTATGTAGCGACCGTGGTGACACTGTTGCTTGTGCCTCTAAAATGTTTATGTTTCCAACCAAATCTGAACCATGACATAGGAAAAAATAAAAAAACAAAGATGCAAAACCACCTGCCATTGCCCAATCCATGCTCCGCCCAATTGCAACAAGGGTATATCAGCCAAGCACTCAAAACAGGAAGAGTGCGCCGCCGTTCTGTGAGGTAAAACCCCGTCGAAGAATTCCAGATAAAACCCATTGTCAAGTCCCAAGAACATCTCGTGATAGAGAACAGACAGCCATATGAAAAAGGGCAGGCAAAAGACAAGTAGAAGCCAGATCCGAACCGGGTCAAACAGCCCTGCTGCGTGAACATTTCCTCCCGCATTTCATATCATGCCCTGGAAACGCGAAACAAAATCAACCACTTCCCGCTTGGTATCGGAGTAAGAAATCATGCCAGATGTAGAACAGAAACGATAAACTCCCCAGTCTAACAGATATGACAAAGGAAACAAAAGAAAAACAAAGAAGATAATAAAGACAAAACAACCAGTACCTCTATGGTCATAACTTTGGGTATTCAAGACATCACGAACAACCCACCCAAGCCGTGTACCATGTCTTGCTTGTCCTTGGGGATATAAGATAGAAGGGAGAAAAATATAACGGAGGAAATAACCAGCAAAAGAAAATATAAACGGGGTATCAACACTCAGCCACGTCGGGCGAGTCGGAAAAGAGAAAAAATGGTGGAAGGAAATGATGCTGTTGTACAAAGGAGGAGGCCCCATCATTGAGACAGGCCGCGTCGCACAATGTGATCATCGCGCGACGTAGAGATGAAATGTTGAATTTGCCCCTCTTCGCTGTGAGAGGTTTGAGAGAGGCGTTCGACGTGGACGAGGATGGTGATTGAATTTACTCCTCGTCGTCGCCGGATCCACCCTCCTTTTCTCCTTTGTGAACCTTCTTGTGTCGGCGCAGGTTGGAGACAACCGAGAAGTGGCGACCACAGCCTTCCACGTCACATGCAAATGCTAGATCCCATGCTGTTAGTTTCACAGAACCCCACGTTCGACAAATTCGGTCTGGAACTTACGCTTTTCGCCAGTGTGACTATACATATGGGTCTGGAGCGACGACGGGCGGGTGAACCGCTTGTCACACACCTTGCACTTGTGCTTCTTCTGTGTGTTGGACGGCATCTTAGAGCTAAACTGACTCATCATCGACTGGGGTCCGGGTGGTGCGCTTCCCGTCAAAAGGTTCGAGGGGCGCGGAAGGGTCCGCGACAAATGACCGTTCTCGTAGGATTCCGAGGTTGTCGAGCTATAATCGGTAACCGAAGATTCCACAGATGCCACCGAGGCACTGTAGTAGGGGTAGTTGCTAGCGGAGGAGATCGAGGATCCCGAAGAGTGAGTCGAGGGGAAGCCATAAGAGTCGCCCGAGCCCCGCGCGCTGCGAGGACCATAGATGTTGCGAGGCGTCAAATCCTGGCTAAGCGCGACCATTCCCCGGCTGGCATCCAGAGCATCACCGAAAGTCGGGGCAGAGGCAGGATGCGATTGACTGACGCGAGCATCACTGTGAAGCAAAAATAATTGTAAGCATATATTCGTTTGCTCTTTCCAGGCGCTCTAAGCAGCTGCGCATTGGAGGGTCATCTTACGCATGGGATATCCGTCGGTCTTGGTGCATGTGGGGAGCGTAGCTCAAAGGTGCATAGCTGGCTGGCGCATAGCTGGTCATGGGGGAAGCTGTGGTGTAAGCGGGAGCTTGCTCAAACGATGTGCGTGGGATATCGTGTGACAATCCCATCATCTCCGGTCCGGGGTAGCTTGTGGCCGTGGCAGTGGAATAGTTGCTTCCGGCAACCATGGAGGGGGCGGACACGGGGATGCTAGAATATGACATCGACATCGCCGCGGGGCGGCTCACTTCCTCCTGCTTGACATGGTTGAGGCCAATCGGACTGGGTGCGAGAGCTGTCGCATATACGGGAGGGTTGGAGTGGGAGGTTGTTTGAGCGGCGGCCCATGGATCGGTGAATTGAGGAGGGGTGTGGTGAATGTTGTGGTGATAGACACTATCGAAGCCCATCCCGCCGTATTGGCGGTTTTGGTTTTCAATGACCATCGTCATGGAGAATAGTGGTGATCGCACGTAGCGGACGTTGATTGTTGGAGGGAGGTAGCGTGGTTGACGTTGACGATCGGAGTATCCCTAGGAAGGTAGGAACACAACAAACCAAGAGCAAGCAACTGCGCGCGTGCGATTTGGTGGAAGGAAGGAGGGGAGGGGAATCAGGAAAGATCAGGTATAGATGATCGAGGGTGAAAGATGATCAACACAAGAAGAGTAATGTGTTGGAAGAGAAAAAGGTAGCTGGTAGGAAGGGATCCGCGCTTTAATGTATAGAATGGAAGAAAGATGCGCAGGGGAAAGCAGCTGTGTAAATAGTCGAAGAGATATTTGGTTCTGAGACAGAGACAGAGAATATGTAAATGGCTCTTTGGTCAAGGACCCGACAGATAGGAAGAAGGAAAGACAGTCTGGGGAAGGGCCCGAAGGGGATCGGCGAAGCTTATGAACAAATACAGGATCTCAGCATGAGGATGGACCGCAGGGACGAAAGGAAGCCCTGGCGTTGCCGTGTTGGTGATGGGTTTAGTGTCACTGACGACGTCCCGTCGGGGACGGTTGCAGATCGTTCCTTTGGGCCTCTTAGGCTTCGAAACGGCGCCAATGTTGAAAATGATTAAACAAAATAAAATAAAATAAAATTCAAGCGAAATAAATCATCACATTTACCGACAGAGAAAATGGAAAGCATCAAAAGAGAAAAAGCAATGAATTAGTGTAGTGATTCTAGTGGTTTAGTTCAGTTTACTTAGTGGGTAGCAGGCACTGGGGCAGGTTAGACTACGGTAGAGGAAAAAGTGGGAAAAGGGAAATCTCCAAATGGGAACCAGTTCCTCGGGTGATTCTCAAGGTTTTGGATGGGTCTTCCTTATTTTTCTTTTCCCTGGTTGTTTTTCTGCGCTTCTTTTTTTCTTTTTGGGGATTTTTATGAGCGGGAGAGGAGAGGGGAGAGGGGGGTGGAGGTGGAGGGGTGCCAAAAGAGAATAAAAAAGAGAAAAAAAAACAAAAACAAAAATTAACGATTTTTGTTTTTGGTCCCTCTCGACTTTCCCTTTTCTCCTCTTCTCATTTCCTTTTTCTGTTTTGTCATTTTCTTTTCTTATTTTTGCTTTTCCCACTTCCAATCGTTTTCCATTTCTCGCCTTTCCCTCTTTCGACCAAATTTTCTTTTTTCCCAATCTGAATTCCCATCTTGCCCTTTTTTGGTTCTTGGTTCTTCTTTTTCCTCTCTCTGCATCGCTCCTCTTTCTCAAGCCATCTCATGACTAATAGATCTTTCTCAAATCAAACCTACTCTTTGGTTCAAGTCTCCCTCTCTCCTTCTTCAATCTTAGTACGTAGTTCATACGCTAGATTTCTATTTTTGTGCATTGGATGGCGGAGAGAGAGGGGAGTAAGTGGCATCTCTCGTTGGCTACTCTCGCCCTGAGTAAATCTGATACCCAGGCATCAACCCCGGCCCGCCCAAACCAATCAACGAAACACAATGCAGCAAAAAATCCTCATTCGAAACACGCACGTCAATTACGCCCCCTTCCCCCCGAGTTTTAACACTACATACATTCATTCATTGAAGGCACTTTAAGTTCATACGGCACACAAAAACCAATTGCGCCCGGTGTTAGGGAGTACTGAGTATGATGAGATCACTTTCGAAACTAAGGTAGGATCTTGAATTTTGTTTACCATGTAAAACGGGGAAAGAAAGCAGCAGGGGTAGCGGCAAAAGATCTGAAACTCCGGCATTCAGAAAAGGGAACCACAATCATGTGTGTCCATGCACATATGCAAATCTGGTAGAAGAAGAAGATGATGATGATGATTACTACCCCTTCAAGAGGTACAGTACTTCGTAGTAAGCTTTTGCTTTTCCACGGTTCTGCAACATGTGGTTGTTTAAGATTGTAATCCGTAAAATCGCAATCGGTGTCTCTAATCTGCATAGGAGACTCGGCTACTCTAGTTTTTGAGCACCGTCTGGGTGGTAGGCAGTGAGAACTACTACCTACCGAGTATACTCCTTCCTTCGCACACGCACATGAGACAGGCAATTACAGTAAGTGCTCACTCATACAAATGAGGGTTGACGCGGAAAGGCGACTACAGCCACAAGGCAACAGAGAGAGAGAGAGAAAAAGTCAATGACCAAAAGGGCAAAAGCAAAAAGGAGGCAAATGATGAAGAGGGGAAATGGGAGGGGAGGGGGAGGGTTAGAGAGAAGGAAAGGAAAGCAGAGGTGGTGGAGTTTCTCTATTGTGCAGAAGTAAATGCAGAAGGGAGAAATAAAAAAGCATGGACACTTGACATCACGAAAAGAGACAAGCAAAAAGCAACAAGTAGCAAGCAAAGCAAAAGCAAAGCATTAGAGTAAAAGGGAATGGCGTGTAGTATGGAGTCTTCAATTCAGGTACCAGACCGATTTTGCACCGTGTGTCTGGTGGTTTAGTCACCGTCCCCGTCCCCGAGGGAGTTACGTACTCTTGACTCCATAATCCTTCCATCAATACTTTCCCTTCTGATGTCTGTATTGTGTACGTACCTTAGTGAGTGTTATATGGCAGGCTGGCAAGTGCGGCAATAACGCTCCATTCACTGTGTCCCATTCAAGTCATCATCATAAGGGGCGGCGGCATTGAGCCGACAGACCTTACCCAGAGTGGTAGGTTCACTTAGGGGAGGGCATTGAAGGTAAGTGGAGAGGAGGGGCGGGGGTTTGTGCCGTGTCTATACAAAGTAGTCCAATGACCAATGTCGGGAAGAGAGGACCAGCACCAAAACAGCAAAGCGTGGCACCAGGGAAGGCATGAAAAGGGTTTAGGGGCAACTGAAGCATGGATGGAATTGGGAAAAGACAAAAAAATTACAGGAGGGCAGGCAGCGCCAAGAGTTAAGCTTAGATGCACTGATGCAGCGACCAAGGTTCACCTTGAGCCCTTGGAGTGTGTGTTTCAAGGTAGCGGGGAAAGTGGCAGATCACAAAGATACGTCAAAGGGTACACCCGTTCCGTGGGGGAGAAAGGTCACTCTGCTGAACAATAACATGGTTGTTAGAAAAGTTTTCCCATGCGTACCTGTGTGGACCAAGCCTTCTTTTGCTCCCCTACCCCCACCCCCTACGTACCAACTATTCTTATGGAGTATGGCCTCTGCTGAATCTGATTGAATCATCTCCTGTCTCTTTTTTTTTTTGTCGGCTCCCCCATCCAGCTCTCATGCTTTTGCCGTTTTGGAATCTGGTAACTTTGAGGAGTGACGGCGGAATACACTACGGTGGCCGGTAATATTACAGCACGATTAAGTCGATCGATATGAAATGGAAGCACTCCAGAAGGGGATTCGAGAAGAAGGTTCGCAGTTGCACTCTTCAAACACATCACAGCCAAAGAATGGGCCGATGGGCTTCCTACCCTCCCCCTTAACTGTAACTGTAGAAGTTGATGGGTGTGCGCGTCCAATGGTGGCATTCCACCCACGCCATCTTGCACAGAACATGTTACGCAAGAAAGCGACCAAGAACTCCAAAGTCTCCGAGTTGGGGCAGGGTGATTGGTCCATCTAGGGTTGAAGTGGTGAGGATGGTGGTGGTGGTGGTGGTGGTGGTGGTGGTGGTGGTGATGACTTGGCCCCCTTGGAGAACGCTGCTGCGGGCTGCTGCGGGCTGGTAGTATGTCAGTGATAATGGTGGTGGTGTCCAGGAGGCGGTATGGGTGAAGGTTTCCCCTCAGGGACTGAGCGGAACCAGATGCATAGTTCAATGATATATCGGTCATTTAGTATGTACAGTACGACTGACTCGGGCAGCCTTGATTCGATGCATCTACCGCGAAAGCGCAGTAGTCAGATAACCCCGCCGCAGAGGGTGATTACTGATGTATGTACATAGAGTACCTCTGTATGTACGGCGATGCAATGCGCGTGCGAAATTGATTCTTGAGAGCTCGGCAGCAGACAGCCATTCACATCGCCCGGCTTGAACCGGGATCTATGAGGTGAAGCTGCCTTTTTTCCTCCATCCATCACTCACATCGGAAATGGCTGGGGGGCGGGCGGGGGATCCCCCAAGGCTGTCGTCGGTCAACGGTTGACGATGACGATAATGTGCCGCGATCCATGAACTAGGTATGCATGCAAGCGAGTCTAATACATTTCCGTGGTTATCGAGGGCCATGACTAAAGAAACCACCAGATGACCGTACTGTGTATGATGATGGTGATGATAGTGTTGTTATTACAGTAGAAATGAATGAGGCCTCCAATGCAAAATGACGACATGGCTTTAGGACGAAATCGGGAATTCATCCATTTTCCGCATTCTGCAGAGATGGCGCTCGCGTGCATTTCATTTGAGTACGAGGTAACTTTGCGATCCTTGCCTCCTGTTCCTCCCCATCCTCTTTCTCCTCCCGCAGCGAAGGGCCAATGTGGGTGGGTATCTCAATGCGCGGGGGTGATGATGGAGTCGGAGGCTCCTTCGGAATGAAGCTGTTGTCAGCGTCATACAAATGAAAAGCTCAGGCCTTACGCGCTGGCTAGTGGCCAACGAGGCCCCGCCTTGAAGATGGATAATGACGAGCACGGGAACATCGAGCATCAACCGCCGTCATCAACATCGTCCTGGGGGTGCAGCATCGCATCGGCAGGGTCTCTTCGAGCAATTAAGCCGATATTAAAAAGCAATCATGCGATCGAAGTACCAATCGCAGAGACACAAGGATGCGGTTTCAGCCGGTCGATGTCGATAAATTGAGGTAGTATCAGTGTAATATAATCTAATGAGATGACATTAAACATGAGACCACTGAAGTATGAAAAGCCCTGGTGAATGGCTAATTTGCTACATAGTATGTGACTATGTGTGTGTACTTCAAGGGTAGTAGTTAGTGGTAGACAGCAGCGACGGCAGGCGCAACCTATGTTGCGATTCAGATCGCAGCCACGTTAGCGGGATGATTTCCATGGTCTGACCCGCCAGTCCCTCGGTTCGAGGCTTGTCTGATGAC